TTTTTTTTGTGCATTTTTACTGGTGCCCTAGTTTCATGAAGCTCAGGAGAAGTCACATGAATATATTCTTGGATTTTCATCCAATATTGTTGCTAAGGAAACATCATCTTTAATACTGTATCCTTGTCTGCAGCTTGTCTGTATTAATCAGTGCCTGTTAATGCTTAGCACAAACCAAGTAAAGATGAAAAAAAATCTTAATTTCTGTAATGAAGTAGTTTATTATAGACTCATCTCCTTCAGGATCCCCTGCCACTGCAAATTTCACACAAATTGAAGGGTCACATCCATATCTTTGGTCTCATCCCAAACAGACACAGTATGGACAGCTTTTATACATGTTTCATAGGCTGCTAATAATGATAATTCAGTATCATTAATCTAACATAGGTATTGTACAGTACGTGGATTTGGTCAAAATGGTGGGAATGCTTACATGCTGCCTTAAAAAGGAGAAAGAACTTTTTCTATGAAGTAGAAGAGAGGAGCACTAAATTGAGAAACATATCCATTTTCAGTATACTGTTAAAATTGTAATACTGTATTTCAGTTTCCTTTGAACATCTATCTAGGGAAAGGCCTGTCAGTCAGAGATACCAGTGGAAATCTCTGTTCTCTGCAGGTCCAGATACTTCGTTTTGTTGCAGTAGTGACAGGCGGAATTTTTTAATTTTCTATTTCTGACCTCTTCTGAGAAGCACCAAATTTTATAGTCAATTTCAAAATAATTTGATTTAGCAGGTTGTCCTGGGTTCAGCAGTAGCAGTCATTTTTCTCCTTCTTGGTAGCTGGTGCAGTGCAGTGTTTTGACATTCAGCTTTGGAACAGAGCTGATAGCAATGTTTTGGTTTGGCCAAGGACTTTGTGAGCCTCATGCTCTGCCAGGGAGGAGGGGAAGCCAGGAGGAAGCAGAAACAGGACACCTGACCCAAACTGACCAAAGAGGTATTCCATACCACAGCACGTCATGCCCAGGATGTAACTGGGAGTTAGCTGGAAGGGCTGAGAGACTGCAGGGTTGGAGGAGGCATCGGTGAGAGCTTGGTCGGGCTCTGGGGGGCAAGTTATCAGTCAGCTGGTGGTGAGGTGTTGTATTCTCTTCCCTTGTTATTTCCTTTATCATTGTTATTATTGGTGGTAGCAGTAGTGATTTGTGTTATACCTCAGTTATTAAACTGTTCTTATCTCAGCCCGTGGGAGTTGCATTCTTTTCGATTCTCCTCTCTGTCCCTCCGGGAGTAGGGGAGGGCAGGAAACGGGGCGGGGGAGTGAGTGAACGAGTTACCTGGCTGGGTTTAAACCACGAAACAGGTTTTTAGCCAAATTCCTGTTTGCTTTGTTTCATGGTCACATTTGCCTTTTGGACATCTTCCTTAGTATCTGCCTCTTCAGAGAGACTATGTTAGATGCAACGTTTGTTCTTGAAAAGCAGAGGTCAGAAATGCCAGAGACAAGCAAGAAGGCCTGAACATGTCTCATTGGGAATATTTGTTTCCTTTTTTGGACAAAAAGTGTTACCTTATTCATCAGCTCAGTCATCCTTCAAGGAAGAGGAAAAAAGTCAAGCACAAGTTTACTGTCTAGCTGTGTTGGCTAGATGCAAGCATGGTTTCAGCAGTCTAATCTGAATAGGTCATCCCAGCTTTCATTAGCAGAGCAGTAAACAGAACTCAAGTTCTCTTGAATGCAGAGTGTCTTGTCCATTAATCAGTCTCTTTACTCTCCCTGTGAGAAAAAAAAATGCAAGAAAATGTGTGTGAGGGTGTCAGTGCACTCAAGTTAACAGAGCCCACATCAACAGATGTGGAAGCTATCTTAAGAGCTGAGCCACGCTCATGCTTTTCTGCCTGTCCTCAGGGACTGACTGGATGGGTACTAAGCAACTATTTCAAATACCATTTCAATAGTTTTCATACTATTAACACCTGTGTAGAGGTGTCTTGGAGATCTTAGGTGTGGTATCCACTACAGCATAGTCCTTGTATAGTAAACATTTATAGTTATCCATTTCTGGGCATCTATTTTAGTTACTTTTTTTCTTCCTGCACTAAGAAGCTATTTACAATGCATTGCTTGGGACTGTTTTAATAATGAAAGTTTCTGAATATGTGAGGTGTTACCAATGTGTTTACTTTAGAGGCTAGACCAAGATACTGTATTTTTGTATTAATTGCTGTGCCTGTAAGGATTGTTCAATCACTCATAGTCCAATTAAAGAACTACAAAGGGTCTCCATATTGCTTAAACTGGAGTCTAATCCTCGAGTTTTGATCGGATTTAACATTTCAGACCTGGAATTCTGCATAGTACCCCATGGCTTTAACAATGGCCAAGGCTTGAGTATTAAGGAAAGGCATCATCTTATCATTCACAGTTCAGATGAAAGTCATTTGAATGTGTGTGGCATTTCCTTTTTTTTTAATGTTGGTACTACAATCAGTAGTCCCTGACCTCTTTCCAGACTTCCCTTTTCCATCTGGCCTCATAGCCAGTGGGATAAAATACTTGCACTTTGTACTTAAAGTACAGTACTTTAACCTATCCTTCACTCCTTGGTCTGGAAGAAATGGTGAGGGAAGGTGTTCTCGGGTATTTCATCAGCCACTGCCAATAGTTCTGCTGTTCAGTTTCCCCAAAATCCCTGCATACTGGCTTTTTTAAAAAAGCCTGCTCTTTTAAAATATTTATTGTATATTAATTTTCTTCTACTTTCAATGACTATCTAGAAAGGTTGTTAGCAGTTTACTATAGAGACTGAAGTGGAAGGGGAAGGACATTGGTAGTTCTATGGTGTTGTCTGTTATGATTTGGATCTTAATTTATGGTGCATTATCTCATCTCAAGGCAGAATTTGAACTCAGTTGTTCAAACCAGTATTTTCTATAATGATATAGAAAGCATTAATACTATGACGTTGCTGTTATTTATTATTTTCCATTTATTAATTGGAAAGAGAGGAAATATATATATTCGCCTAATGTGCTTTGAGTGGAATTGGTTGGCACACTTGGGCTAAGGCAATGTTTTCCTGGCCATTGGTAGTGCCTTGCATCTCTGATGCATTGTGTTTATTCTGATTTTTCACCAAAAACATGCTAAGGTAATTTTTAGTTGCTGGAAAGTGTTTTGTAAGGTGTGATGTGGGGGTGCTTTTGCATGTATCTGTGTCCTGTGTGGTGCCTGAGTGTTTTGTCAAAGCTGCAGTATGGGGTGGTTTTCACTTGCTTGAAACTGCACAATGCACTAATAGCAGAGCTAAGTACAGGATTGAAGAGGTCATGAATCAGTCATAAGACTGCTCTGTTTCTACTTTTTCTCTTTTTTTTTTTTTTTCCCTTCGTGGAAAGTTTTCACTTCCTTTCTCTACCTGAATTTCTTTATTGTCCGCGTGGTCATATCTCTCCCTTTCTGTGGTGTTATTGTGAAAATCAGATAATTTCAAATGCAGGGTTTCCCCCCCTCCAGATGCTTTTCCTTTTTCCCCAGGCATACACCACCTGCTTGTGTTTGCCCTGGGAGATGTGCAGATAATTGGTCAGGATTAGATGGCAGAACTACAGTGAAATGTGCTAAGTTTTGCTGCCAGCTCATTTCTACTTTTTTTTTTTTTTTAAATTATAAAATTGGTCTTTCAAATAAAGAAGGAAGGGAAGAACCAGAGAAATAACTCTGGAGTTGAAGAGAAGCAAAGAGAGTAAATGTTGGTTGCTGAGCAGCAAAGAGGAGGAATTCCCATAAAAAGTTGAAAGGTCCAGAGGCTCTTTACCTTTTGTAGAAACTTTGAAGTTAAAGGTTTCTCTCAAAGCTGTCCATGTGGAATTTGTCAAACAATATCAACCAACTGAAATGCTCCAGTACAATAGAAAAAAATACAAAAGTTTATCATGTAGTGTAGTATGACTTCATGAAATATTAAGTAACTGCTGACAGTTTTCTCTTAGTCTTTTTGTATATAGAAAATGTATAGATCTTTTTACTTAGATTTCTTTTTTTTTTTCTTTTCCTAGTGATTTCCTGGTTAGCTTTCTCCTTGCCGCTTCTGTTTATAGACTCCCCTTGTCTTCACCCTTGGAATTTCATTAACCAAAATCTCTGTTCAGGTGTAAGGTCATTTTACCATTGCAAAGTGCTCAGCTTTTCTCCTTTACAAGTAATCTTTGTGTTAGTAGTTCTGTCAGCCAGTCTCTCAAGATCGTTACCATATTATGAGTTAGGGGAGGAAATATTTTAGCCAAATTAAATAGTAACCTCTGAAATTTTTATCTCCCTGACTTAATGGTGGGACTTCTACATCATTTTGGACTGCTATACCTAGTCTGTGTAGAATGTAATGAAGTAGCTTTTTTGGGTTTCTATTAGAATATATTCTTTCTCACTTTTCTGTGTTATAAAGTATGAATCTTCAGACCTCATGTCCTCCCTTGCTGCTTGCTTGCATAAGGAAAACAAAAAACTGTCTTGCTACTAGCCTGCTTTCTAGCTTGGTTCCAGATTTGATGAAACAGTTGTGATGATCCGCTGTCAACTTTAATAAAAGATTTGGAAATATCAACTATAAGAAAGTACTCTGCAATATTAGAAATATGAATAGTTAATAATTATTCAAAATCAATTATTCCCAATTGTTTGATATTAAAATTAAGACATTGAAGATAATCTCATGTCACTTCAGTTTAGACATCTTAAGTCTAGCAATAGTATCTATCTAATCTAGTCATGCTTTGGCTTGCTGTAAGATCTCTCATAAAAAGGATGTCAGATAGTATGTAGAATGAGGTAGTTCTGGAGATGCATATGTCTCCATTGATGATAGATCTGTAGATAGCTAAATACCAACTATTAGAGCTGTTGTGGAATTTGCGATACAAAAGGACTTGTTAATATCTATTATCAGTGGGAAAATATTATAAAATCATTATTAAGGAGAACTATTAATAAAAAAAATCTAGGCAAATGTAAAAGTTTCATTCAAAAATATTTTATGTATTTTTCTTTGGCAGCCTTGCTTTGCATCCTGAACGTGTGTTGGTGGCCACAGGTCAAGTTGGAAAAGAACCGTATATCTGCGTGTGGGACTCATACACTGTGCAGACTGTATCTGTTCTGAAAGATGTTCACACGCATGGTATAGCTTGCTTGGCTTTTGATTTAGATGGTCAGGTATGTAATTAATTTTTTTAAACAAATTGTTTATCTGTCACATCCTGTTAAGTAGCTTTGTGGTGTTGTAAGGATGTGTATTGCCTCAGGTTTTATCTGCTTATTCTCAAGTTGAGGAGAAAAAAGTCGGCATTACTAATTACTGACAAATACTCATATTTGGCAAGTATAACTTCAAAAGAGTGTTTAATGAAGATGAGGTGGTAGGGAGATCCTTGCGGTTTGTGGGCCACAGGGCAAGGTTATACTAAATGGCTGGAGATAGTGGGGCTAGTGGTGCAGGTTGTGTCTTGTGCACAAATTGATGTTACTTATCTTGGACTCCTTAATTCCTTCAGGCAGTATCCCCTTCTCTGTTACACATTTTGTATGTGTTGGTGACTCTCCACATTTTGGTTGTTCGGAGTCATGTATCCTGGATCCTAAGAGTGAAGAAAAATATGCAATATATAGATGAATCACAAGAAAAATGTGGTTCCTATTACTGGTCTCCACATGATCACTATCACAAATGTTGGTCATCTTCAATCACTGGGAAGGAATATGTAGACTGAAGTGAGGTCAAGCCCATTGCACTTTTCAAGTTTTTTCTATTACTTGTTCATTTCTAATGCTTCATGTTGGGCTATGCCACAGAGCTGCTCTCCTCCCCACCTCCAACTGGTCTGGCTAGCTCAGGAAGGCATAATTTATTCTGTATTTATTGTCCTTTGTTAATTGTCTTGGGGATTCTCTCCTTTGTGCTGAGAGAAGTTCAGCTAGCTTTGTGATATGTTCTTCCATGAGCATGCTGGGTTATTTTTTGCTTTTTTTCTGAGCTGTACTCCACTGTGGAAGTCTGCTGGTTGGTAACAAGATTTTCTTGTTCTTAGGAGAACTGAGAACATAATTTAATCTCCCTTTGTATTGGGTTATGTCTGGAAAGACATCACCAAACTTTTTTTGGTGATGGGTATAGAATAAGTGTAAAACTAGTTTGCATTCACTCCTCTCATTCTGCAGTAGGACTGGAATTGAACTGCTTGGAAGCATACCTGACATTGAATCTGATGTTCCTTCTGAGAATATTTTCAAAGATGGAATAGAAAGGTTGAACTTTGCAATATCTGAAAGATTGAAATTGACATTAATAAATAGGGAGTATGAATAACAATTGTATTTAACTTGCTTCATGTAATTTTGAAGCTTTTCAAACAGTAAAGAAAACATGTTATTGGGAATAGGTTTCTGTCTTCGGGAAAAAATTTGCTTAAGTTTGGGGTTTGCTTTGCTTTTACAAACTCAGTTTTATAACCTATGTAGAAATTGAAATTAAATTTGTCTTTAATGTGTGTAGGTATTAACTGCTGAACAGTGAAAAAACTTTGTCCTTAAAGATGTGCAAAGCTTTCATCTATCAAAATTAAGATGGCACAATTCATGCATAAACTGAACAAAAAGACTTAATTTTCTTTAAAAATAAAACTCAAAGTTGCCGAGTTTTTTTTTTTTTTTTTATCAGCTCTTTAATACTGTTAGTCTTTCTGTTGAGACTTTCTATAGGAAAGACAACGTTTTTACTAGTTAGCAAATAAAGTGTACTGTTGGCTAGTGTGGTGAATGATTTGTATCAAGAAATCTGGAAAGGAATAGTTATTCGTACACAGAATCAACTAGGTTGGAAAGACGTTTAAATCATTAAGTCCAGCCTTTACCCCAGGACTGCCAAGTCCACCACTAAGCTGTGCACTAAGGGCATCAACATGGTTTTTGAACACTTTAAGAGATGACGATTCCACCACTTTCCTGTGCAGCCTGTTCCAATACCTGATCACCCTTTTGGTGAAGAATTTTTTCTAATATTCAATCTAAACCTTCCCTGGTGCAGTTGTTTTGAAGAATCAAGCAAAAGACTCTTATAGCTTTTAAATGTTTTGTTTGTTTCAAGAAGATTGAAGAAAATATTTTTCTTTGTATGTCCTGAACTTGTGAAATAAATACTTAAATTCTGCAAGTTAAATGTAATTAAAAGTAAACCCAAGTAGTTTCATTAACTTCAGTGAGTCTTCCTTTTTGCAAATGTCTTCTGACTGCTGCTTGCCATGTGTGCTATATATAATTATATATATTAAACATTATAAATCCTAAATATGTTGTTATCTGAGAAGATCTTTATGATCATGATACTGTAACTGAAGAATTATGTATATGGAAGCTTTGGCATAAGATGTTGTATCTTTAGTTTTTTTCTATATCAAAATGTAGCTATTTCTTCTAACTCAAATATGTCATGAATTTGTTACAGTTCAAAATGATTACTCTAGTTTTCATTAATATACTGAATTTTTAAATTTACTTATTTTGGACTTTTTTAGCGCTTGGTCTCAGTTGGTTTGGATTCAAAAAACACAGTTTGTGTATGGGACTGGAGAAAAGGGAAATTACTGTCAATGGCTCCTGGTCATACAGACAGAGTAAGTGTAACTAAAGAATTTGGTGTCAGTGTAATTTTAGTTTGTTAAACCATGTCTGTGTAGACATACTAGAGCTATGCCTGGACAAAAAAAAAAATTATGTTTTAGAAATTGAATTTGTATATTGTGTGGATATGTATTAAGACATGTGAAGATATTTTAGATATGCACATTTATTTCTAAAATAAAATGCGTAACTCACCATTTATTTGTGTGTGGTTTGTTGAGACTTTAAGCATGTAGGGGAAGTGCAAAATTAAGACACTTCCTAGACCCTAATCCCCACATGGGAAATCAAGATACAAGTAATTGCTTAAATTTTTCTGGTCTGTAAATGAACCTTAATGTTGTTTTATCATGTGATGTAATTACTCTAGTGAAAAAAAAAAACAAAAAAACAAACAGAACTAATGTACGCTGCAGTTTCGGTATTGAATGAGGTGATAAAATAGTTCCATTTAAAGGATTTCAGACTGTGAAAATTGCTACAAATTTTTACTGTTTAACTGTCCCATGCTAGAAGGGCGATCTCTGCTGACATCTTTGTTTTTTTTTCATGCAGATATTTGATATTTCTTGGGATTTGTACCAGCCAAACAAGCTTGTCAGCTGTGGTGTGAAACACATCAAGGTAATGAAATAAATGTTAACTCATAAAGTATTTAAGCTGTAGTAGTTTATACCCTGTAAAATAGAACATAAAATAAATATATAATTATAATATAAAAGATCTTCTGTAAGAGTAATATTACTTCTTAGGAACTGCAATCAAGTATCATACCTGACTACACTAGACAAGATATACATATAGTAGAAAACAGACCAACACTGCTTGACAGAGTTCATGCCCTGGCAGAAGAAATGTGGAAGGAATGAAACAGTTGTCAGTAGCATTGTATGTCATGATCGTAATAGAATTTAAAATTCAGATTGTCTTAAAACATGCTGTTTGAAACCACAAGTAGCACAAGGCAGGATGCACACGTTTCAGGTGAGTTCAGGTAATCAAGTTTCTGATTCTTGAACAGTTAATGAATTGTTACAATTCAGAGGTAGAATGAATTAAAAAAAAACATTTCTTACAGTGTGAGAGAGCATGGGAATACAGTGGAAAGACAAATGGAAATGCTTGTCCTTTCTGTTAATACTTTTCCCTGCTGTTATTCCTACCTTTATCATTTTGAGCATCTACCAGTTACAAGATTCATAATTCAGAGAGTTCATGTCTTTTTCAAGCAGAGTGTGCTATGAAATACTATGAATACTATGAAATGCTATGAAATCCATGTACCAACTGCTGTGCAAAAACAGCTCATTTCTGTCAGCAGGATTATCAGTGTTTGATTGCCATCAAATATGTTTCCTAAAGTCATTACCTTCTCCCATGCACTGTCTTCTGTGTTACCACATAACAGCAGTAGATGGCAGCTTGAAAGTTCTGTGCTGCTGTTATGTGTAGGTTCTTGTAGTGGGAAAAATGTTTTGCTTTTCATAAAATGAATTTTTAGATTAATATGTATTTATGGTTTATTGAAGAAAGTGTTCCATGTGTTGGCTAGATTGCACATGCCTTTGATTTAGCATAGCATTTAGCAGATCGTTTACAGATTTCCATAGGCTTGATTAATAATGATCTTTTTTTTCCTACTTCAAGATCTTACAGGACCGTTATGCCAATAGTGAGCTAATATGTTATGCCAGCAGCGATTTAATATATTTATGGTGGCTTTATGACTTAAACCATCTTTTTAGATAAGCAAAAGTTTATTTGAGCAACTTTTAAGGCTCTGTGACAACTTAATAAGAATAGCTTTTTAAAAATAATTGGTGTTTCCTCTGAGAAAGCATTAACTGAAAATCTGAATCCAGAGATTTATAGGCATTTAGATCAGGCAAGAGATTTTTGTTGATGTATATTTTTCTTAAACCGTTGCAGTTCTGGAGCTTGTGTGGCAATTCCTTGACACCAAAACGTGGTGTTTTTGGCAAAACTGGTGATCTCCAAACTATATTGTGCCTAGCCTGTGCAAGGGATGAAGTGACATATTCTGGTGCACTGAATGGAGATATATATGTATGGAAAGGAATCAACCTTGTAAGGACAATACAAGGAGCACATGCTGTAAGTATATCTCTTTAATATAAAATGTTAAATAGATTTCTGGAAAGCTGGAAAGGGCATTGCAAGATCACTTAGTCTGTGTTTCTAAACTATTTCAATGATAGAGACTCAGTATGTCTCATCTGAATATATTTCCTTTTCTGTCCTTTCTCTCTGTTGCTTAAGATTGCTGTTGTGTTAGAAAGTGAATGCTAGATTGAGATATACATTTAGGTGTCTATGTATATAGTATCTTCCTTTATCATTGATGGGCCTTAGTAATCAATAGAGCCTGGAATGCATTTAAATTTATCCTTCAGTAGACATGTATTACTCTGTTCAATTACCCATGCATAGGTATATGTAGTGATATTTCATATACCGGAGTTGAGTACATAGCTGCCTCCCCCAAAGAATATGGATCTACTTTATCTGACTTTCTTTTATGGAGTTCTCATTAATCCAGAAGCATCTCAGAAGGCCTGGACTGCTCTATTTAGGTAATTGGTGTTGAAACAAATAAACAGGTCCCCAGAGTGGATCTCAAGCTTCCTCTACATCTCTGTCAATTTGGAGGTACAACATAGCTGGACACAACTCTTGAGCAGTGCGCTGTTTTCCAGCTCTGCCTTGGGCAGGCGTTTGGACTAGAAGCTCTCCAGAGTTTTCCCCAGCATCAGCTATTCTGTCATTCTGTGAATTGAGTCCTACTGGCTGGTTGTCTGATAGCTCTCTGAAGTCTGCTGATTTTGTGAAGTGTAATGTAAGCAGAAACTCCCAGCTTGTTTGTAGATACATTCATTTAGTTGTTTTAGCTGGACTCAATCCCTCTTTCTTGTTCAGTGTTGCTGCCTTTTACTGTATTCATTCAGCTTTTCAGAACATTATACAGCTTTGTAAAGTGATGGCATTAGTGAAAGTTAAATCTTTTTGGAAGGGCTTGGTGAGATTTTCTTTTAATCAAAGTGTTTAGTGTGAGAATGAAGTGATTATATTTTTAGCATGTCAGTTTATATTTTCCATATTCGTTCAAATCATATGGTTTTGTGATTAAAGTAGGGAACAAAAAAGACTTAGTGGTTTGCAGTCTGATTTGTTTATGCCAATCTGTGAGAGTCCTCATTTCTTCTCATGGTAGTAAGTTATATACAGTAATGTAATGCAAGTTTTAACTTTTAACTTCCCCAAGTATCACTTTAAAACCAAAGCATGTTGTTGGTTTAACCTGTGAGTCATGAAGCTGCTAACATAAATTTATGAAGCTTTATTATGTGCTGGTTGAAGGTTGATCTTTTTTTTTGTTTGTTTTGTTTGGAAAGGCATTGTACTTTCTAGATAATATTTAAAAATCCCTTATTAGCAATTTAAAATAGTGTGAAAATACAAGCACATGAGTTCCTGTATTGCAGCTTTGAAAATCTAGGTAAAAGTAAATTATTCTTTTTTATAAGAATAATTTGCATGACTAAATGTATGTATGTAACTGAAGTATTAAAATTACTCTATGATTTGATCAGGTAGAATGGAGGGGACAAATAGTGATGAATGATATATATATGTGGGAGAGGTTGCAGTCAGTCAGTACTAAGAAGACTCCTGGTTTATTGATGATTTAGAAATGTGCATTCAGGACAGTGGCAGCTAAACTAATAATTTAAAAGTGACTGGACTGCTTGTTCAGACAGCAGTATAATGACAGTGTATCATATTAGGAGAAAAAGTTATGAAGAACAAGCGTAAGACTATTTTGCATTTGAGCTTTCTTTGTATTCATATGAGTGTATGTATAAAAAAAATATATATACCCACACACATGCATACCCTCCTTTATGCACCTATAGAAATATTAAATGTATTCAAGAAGCCATAAATTCTAAGCCAAGAAGTATAAAGGGATATTTTAACCTTCAAATATTCCCTTATTGTTACTGTCTACCTTCAAATCTGGTTTTAGTGTTCATACTTAGTATTCAATAATATTCTATTCTGATCTGTATTTTCCTAAGGTGATGTGGACATCTACTCTTTGATGCTGAAGTTAGTTAAAAGAAACTTCTAAAATGCTTATATTGCATATACAGAACTGGATTCCCAGAGGAGAGTGTGCACTTTGTCTCATATCCAAAACTGATCAGGAAAAGAGCATCACATCCTATTTGGTGCTGTAGGAGACATCTATCCTGTATATTCATATATCTGTACTTAGATTATTTGGAGTTGCAACAGTTTATTGCAGAAGAATGCTGCGCTTTTCAACCCTTTCAGTGTGAAATGACCTAACTGATAAATGTGGAGAGCACTTGTTACTCCATTACTTATGTGCTGTGTCAGTTTTGTTGACCACAAGATCAAATTTGAAGTGCTGTGGTCCTTATCTTCAGTAGCGTCAGTGGATGGAGCTCAGGTGACCTTGGAGTATGTCTCATCTAGCCTTCTATTTTTGGCTCTGTCCTTTAGGCTCAATGGAATTGTGTTTTGCAATACTGAAAATTAAGTAGAGGCAGTAATTCATGGCTCTGGAATTCATTTTCATGAGAGATTAGTGTCACTACAAATATCACCAATTTCAGGGGAAAAAAAGACCCAATAAAATCTCTTCTGGAAGCTTACTTCCCAACAAAACGAAACCTGGCTTTTCAGTAAAATATTACCTTAAAGGGTAATATTGTCAGACTATTGTAAGAACAAAATATGGCAGCTTGGAATAAGAATGTCTCTTCAGCCATACTAAACTATTATTATCATACTTAATAGTTATTTTGCACATAATTTTATAAATCATGCCCTTGTTGATTTTTTTAAAAGAAAACACAAGGGTAGGTGATAACATTTTTTTATGTGCATGTTGTTAAAAGCAGTGTGACCATAGATAGAAATTTTTGTTCAATATGCTGGTGTTATCCCTGCTTGCCTGTTTATCATCCTGAGTCATTACTCCTCAATGGACTTGCATTAAACTTATCGTTCATTAAAGGAAAGTTTGTCTGTTGTTTGCGTAAAGTACCATGTATTCATTTCTTGCAGCATAAACAGTAGGCATTTGAGATGCAGGAAAACATTTTTAAAAGCATGTTAGTCATGTGGGGATGTGGTCCATCCAGAGGTAACGGTCTGCATTAGTACAGAAAACAGCTTCTTTTCAAAGATTGACTCTTTGTTATAGTTAACCTTGCTGAAAAGGCGTTTTTTATTTTAAGAGTAATTCAATGTGAAAAATAAACCAAGCTGTTCCAGTGTAAGCAGCTGAGGAAAGAGATAGCAACTTTAACACTATCAAGCAAAATAAGAATTCACAGCTAAAATACATTATTTGTCTTCTGTCACAGCAATCCTAAGAACTGTAGATGGAGGAAAGAAGAGTTTCTGTCAGATTTCTATCGAAGTTTGTGTAGAAACAAAAAGCTGAAAGCAAATAGGTTGTAATAACTGGAGAATTAGTTGGAAGAGGAATGGAGAGTTCACTTAATGTGGAAGTAGGAATGAAAAGTATGAAAAGATGGAAACGATCAGTTGAAAGAGCTAAGGCACAGAGTTCATGTGCAGGGAACACTGGATAGAAACGGGAAACTCAAATTCTAGTTTTGCTGATCTCTTCTAAATAATAATGCCAAAATGAAAGTTTTAAAAAGAAGAAAGAAAACACCAATATTAAAGCACGTTTAAGTTCACTGGCACTGGTAGTACTACTTCAGGAGATTAATTGTAGGCAGTGTATCTGATTCTGAAGAGTTAATATAAACCTTGACTAAATAAAAAAATAAACCTTTTATTAGATGTCTCACTTTTATGCCAGTGCAAATTGGGGAATGTAGAGTCTTCTATTTATTTATCATCTTACATGTTCTAAATTCGAGGTAGTCTGTGACTGTTAAGGTGTATGTGCAAGATGTTACTCGGGTATTAATAGTGTTATGCTTATTTTAAAACACTGTACTCTTTAAAGATTCTTGTGTGCCTTTGCCTTGCATAGTGAATATACATAAGATGCCTTGTTAGCAGCTGAATAATTTATTTTGAGATAGTCTTTCAGGGGTACACGTTAAAGTTGTGTGGATTGATGTCAGAAACTGAGGTTAAATAACAGGCTCAAGGTTAAATAACAGGCATTCTGTTAAAACTATTGCACGCCTATGTCACTTGGCTGAATAGTAATTAAATATAGATGGAAACAATATAATGAACTTAAATGAATGGTTTTAAGCTGGTGTCATGTACCAAGGCATTAAGTTATGTGGTATTTTTCTCCTGCTTAGACTAGTCATAGATTTGAAAGGAAACTGTCCCCTTCAGCCAGTGAGAGGCGTATAGGCAACTGTTTTCAATTTTTAAATAATAAGATCATTTTAAATAATATGCCAATTTTTTAACTGCTTTATTGGCGATTTGTTAGACAGGAAGATTAAATTTCACAGTAGTGGCTCTCCACTGTAAGCTTTCTGATTCCATCCTTAAATGTTTGCAATCCATTTCCTTGCTATGCAAATATATATTGGGAGACATGATATCTTTGAGTAAGTGCTCAACATATGTTGCTTTACATGTTAGCATCTATGTCCTGATTGAATCTAGGAGTAAGAAGGAGGCATGGACTTCTTACTGAACTGATATGTTTCCATTCTTCATACTGCTCAGTAGTAGTCAGTTGCTGCTGAAGTTTCCATATGATCTGTCAAGCTTTGTCCTAATTATAGCTAACTGTAGTCATGTGTTTTAGGAATCACATAGAGTAAGTGTGGTGGATTTTATAGAAATTACTACATTTAGGTAAGTTAACACTTGATTTTTGTCCATCAAGTTTCTGAGGCAAGATAGGTCCAGCAGCAATAGAAAACCTGAGATGACTTCACTATTACAAGCTTCTTGGCTACAAGCAGTGGCAGTATATTCATGGAGTAGAGACCATCTTTGTCATGTTGTTTTTGTACTTGTCCAGCTTTCAACTGTCATCTCTGGTTGAACTTGGCATTTTTTTATTTATTTGCTCTTGTTCAGATATTTTTTTGTTTTTGTTTTGGGTTTTGGTTTTTTTTTTTCAAAATTCGAGGGAGCACTGGTGTGATACCATCTAGTCTTACTGGAAAATAGGAAATACTCTACATTCTGAGAAAACTGCTCATTAATTTGAGATGTTACTTCCAGAATTTTCCTGTTCATTAGGAAATGTAATGAAAAATTTCTAACAGAAGAATGCAGTTCATGTCAAACTTTGTAACTTTTAGGATTGAAGATTTTGATCTATACTTTTAATTTCGAACACAGTCAGTCTTTGTTGCTCATGTTATTCAATTGGATCAAAAAGTCAGTGTAATTGTTTGCCTCTCATTACTGCTAGGAGGCTATTGACCATCAAAAATCGAATTATCTTTATGACAGTTTCAGGCTGAAGAATTAAGAGAAGCATGAAGACTCCAAAATTGATTTGCATTAACAATCTTTGCAGTTTCCAAAAGGATACATTTACTGGAAGAATTATGGCTGGCTAAACTACGAGAGCAAAGAATCTGTCTTTTCCCCATTAAGTGTCAGCCTATCAATTACATGAAGAGTAGCTAAGCTCAGCTTCTTCCATTACGTACTTACGGTCTCCATTAATAAGGGACCTTTTTTCTAGTTTTCATCTAATTCTCTGTTCCAGTGCCACATAGTCTGAGATGAGAATGTCCTGTTGCATTTCAGGAGATTGAGCAAGCACAACATCTGCCAAATCTCCTTGACAACCAGCATGTTCTTTTCAAGACTGGGATATTCTGTGAAATAGAAAACAGATTAATCCTGGATCCACTTGATCTTATCTTCAGAACATTCAGCCAGCTTCCCACATTGCCAAATGTCTGATTCTTTTTTTAATACTGACTAATTAAATCATGGATTTCGGAAGGAGTTAATTAGAGGAAACAGAATAATTCTGTTATCAAGGTTGAATTCAAAAAAGAGCTGTAGAAGATTTAAATATGCCAGAACTTGGGCAGAATACAGCATGTGGTACAAAATGTGCCAAAATTCCTCTAGACTTTTATTTGCTCAGTGGCACTAAAAGGTTAATGCAGTAAAACACAAGCACACACACAGACACAGAAACAAATACAGTTTGGGTTGTATTTTCAAAAGATCTCCAGGCTTCTGAAGAAACAGAAAGAGGATTTTCAGGATGTTGGAGATAATGGAAGTTAGCCTTCTAATCTGCTTATGACTTAAAAATTCCACTACATTTCTGTTTAGGCACATGTTATTCCTCAAAATATGGCTTGCCTTAAAAGTCTGTATCCTAAGGATGGACATGACACATCAAAAAAATCTGCGTTGTCACCCTAGTCTTTCAGTATTGATTGTCATTTGACATTCTAGTAATAATACGGGATTTTTTTTTGTGAAAAGTGAGATTTTTTTTTTTATTTTTTTTTTTCTCAACTTGAAAAATGATGTACTTGTTACCAGATGCTAGAAAAGCAAACACAGTCCATACTTCATTATGATCAGTCCATGATGATATTTTCCTGAGTTATAATCCCAGTAGAAAAAAACAAGTTGGTAGGAGAGAAGAGTCATGAGTTCCTGGGAATTCTGACAACCCACAACACTAGGTGCTAGTTTGTTCTGTTAGCGTACAGCTTTATTTGCCCCCAAAAGCTAATCTTTCATTTGCTAATTGCATTCACTTTGAGGGTTAATGTACTTCATTACCCCAACCAGACTACTGGAACTTTACATTTACTTCTTTACAAAACAGAAATTATGGAAGATATACGCATGTTATTGGCTGTTCTACCTTCTTTTAGACAGGAGTACGGAGACAAGTTTTTCCTTCCATGGTTTTTAATGCTCTCCTGTTTTATTTTGTCATAGCTGAATATTAAATATTTTGAACAAATACAGAACTTTTTTTTTCTTTTTTACTTCTAATGGGCTTATTACCCAAAGTTACCTTTTCAGCATCTTTGCTCACGAAATGTGTGAGCTACTTCTGGAAATAAGACTAGTGAGTCCAAACAAAGGGTGTGTGCTCTTTAGATGAGGTATCATGTATGCATCAAATCTAGTGGTTATGTAGATACAGTATCTTTGTTTTAATAATAGATACATCATCCTTGCCTTGTCTTTATCCTGAAAAAGCATATATCAAGTGAGTTAAAGAAAATGTGTTAGGTTTGATTTCCTGAAGTCTACCTTTAAAATAAGAGCTTTATATTATGTAGCTTTAAATGGCATAAAGTGATCACTGTGTTCCTCTGTATTTTGCTTCTAAGCTTAAATATTAAATCCGTCTTCCTTAGCTTAAAATATAAAACATGCCTAATATTTTCTGCCTGGTTCCATAGAAGCTGAGTAATAGCAACAAAGGCCCTGAAACAAGCCTAATGGAGATCAGTGGAGATCATTCTTCTGACATTTGTGGGAGGTGGACCAGGCCCTAAGGCAAGAGGATGTGAAAGTAAACTCTAGGGATAAGAAGCAACATCACTACAATCAACCTCATGATAAAAGCAGTATTGCAAAAATTCTCATATCTTATTGTTTATCGTTGAGTGTGAATTCTGCTCATATTTGAGTTTGTTTCTATATTTATTTGACTCACATTTAAAGCTTGTATTAGTTGAATATGTTTATGCTATTGTCAGCAGCATAACAGGCAGGAAGGAGGGAAGACAATCAATACCACCATGAGCAAGAATTCCATTTTCTGTATTGAGGTATCTAATCTGTGTATACTGTTAAAAATAACTTTCTTCTCTCTTTAGGCAGGAATCTTCAGCATGAATGCATGTGAAGAGGGGTTTGCCACTGGTGGCAGGGATGGCTGTGTTCGCTTGTGGGACTTGAATTTTAAACCAATTACTGTGATTGATCTCAGGGAAACAGACCAAGGATATAAAGGTAAAAATAAGTCTGTGATTTTTGGTATACCAATAAGGTAGGAAGTTTACCAGTGTTTTGAACAAAAAAAGACTTCTTCAAAAAAAAAAAAAACCAACCAAAAAGGTTGTTTCATGTATGTTACTGTGAACTATTTGCTAGAAAAGACATTTGATCATGCCACTAGTGTGAAAGTCATGTAGTCCTTCAGAGTTACTGCAAAACATACTGTGAAGTTGTAGACACAGATTTTTTTTTTCTTTAAATCAATAAAATGCACATCTTTTCTGTAGTACAGGAGTTTCTAACAAGGAGCAGTAAAACCTTAAGAAAACTTAAAAGAGACAGTGAGATCTACAGTGTAAAACAGTGGAGTACAAAATTGCACTTGTTAGTTATCTAAATTTTCGCAAAAACTATTTAGAAGTTATCTAGTTTCATAGAACTTAGAATGCTGCTTGCATATACCTATATCTTCAATTACAGTTTGTCATGCTAAAATTTTAAATGTGGCAGTCTATAGCATGTTTTGTTACTGTTCTAGATATTGTTTGTGTAGTGATTCAGGAACAGAACACAAAAGTATACTAAAGCACTAATGTCACTTACAGCATTGCTTTTGTTGCTATTTGGTTTTCTTTGCCAACAGTCACTTCATTATTTTCTAATATCTTGCAAAGAACTTGACAGTGTGGTCCAGTGTCCGATGGCAATCAGATATTCAGGGTCAATAAATAATTGACTGCAAGTTGAATCTTACTATTCTGTAATTGAATTGGCATTCCAACCAAGATAGTAAAGTATTGCAACAAGATGGAATACGTTTCATTTTAAATGCCCTTTGGTACAGTGGCTTTGTTTTGACTTTAAATTTATTCAGCTGCTTTTTTTTGAGCTCTGTTGGAATGTGTGTTTTATTCCCCATTTTATTCTTTCAATCTTGTTCTTCACTCCAGATTGTCTCCTTTACTTTTGGTGGAAAAGACTCTTACCATGAGCTCTTGGTTCTTGATCACTTATGTGAACTCTGTCCTCATCTTTTAACTTCTCAAGTGGCTTTGGCAGAGCTAATAGCTTTTAAGAAATGCTATCTTTAATAAATTCAGTTTCCTGAATCTTTTCACTTCAGTTTTTTTTCTTAGTTTGCCTTTATGACCTGTCCTACTTTTTTTCTTAATTGCATTTTCTGCTGCTGCTATACCTCACCTCTTGGCACTTTTATCTGTGAACATAAACTCAAGTTCTGTATCCCTGTGAATGTCTTGCAGAGCAATTAGTTGATTCTTGATATGTCTCCGAGTAGTCAAATTGTTTCTCAAAAAATCTCTCTCCATAATAAGTTCCAAATTACTAAGACAGATGTCTTAATCATCGTTCATCAGAGATTCTGTTTGTTTTGTTTTTTTTTTTTTTAAATCACTGTAGACAATGTAGCCATATAATGTCTAGATCATAGGGCTAAATGGTGAGGTGGCTATATTCACCAGTGCAGCACAATAGGAACAAATCTGTAAGAACAATCAGTGTGGAGGATTAAAGTAGCACAATATATATGCATTTTGAGGAGTGTTTGAGGGATGTTAGCTCTAGTTAGATTCAGTGGTCTGAACACTTTATTGCACTTGGAGCGTACTAAGTGCATTCTTGGAGCACGTCTTTCAGTTTTGTTTTGTATGGAGGGGGTCTTATTTGTTCATTTGAATGCTATCTTGTAATATAAAGCATGCTGAGTAGGCATGATCAGGAGCTTTGCTTTGAAAGCATGCTTTGTCAGAATTAAAACATAGGTGCAGATCCAACAGACTGGCCTGCTAACCCACCTATTCACTGTTCTGAGTTGCAACTTTTTCTTCAATGTAAATTTAATAACATAAGGCGGCTCTTTTCTCTATGTAGTTAAAAGTATTTTTCAGAAGCATGTCAATTCATATTGGTACAATATTCTTTCCAACTGATAGGTAAAAGTGTCTCGTATTAATGCAGAGTAGTTTTTCAAATATCATTCTTGAGCTGTTCTCCACAAAAAGTAAGGCAAAGTGAATCAAGTTAGGCATTGCTACCATCTGGTTACCTGCACCTGAAACTGGGAAAATTAAGTTGCACTATCAAAGTGTAACAAACACAGCCTGTTTTAAAAGGTGCATATTCCTAAAATTGGGCACCCAAGTCTGGATTCCCAGTTACAGCAGTCCTAACTTCCATTTTGTTGTTCTCAACCTTATCTATAAACAAGTACATCCTCTGAGTGCTCACTTTCACTGTAAGCCTGTAAACTGAATTAGTTACTAGAAATGCACATTGGAATTCCATCATAAACCCTTTTCATCTCTTTATATGTTGTTTTGTTTTGATTTAGTTTTGTTTTCTATTTAGTGAGAAAAATAATTCTGGATAGTATGAAGATGTTACAAAGATTTGCTTTAGGGGGAGCATCTCAGGCACAGCCTAGGGAGAACTGGGCTTTCTGATTGTCTTACATACAATACATGTTCCACTGATGCTTTTGTCACTTATAAAACACAGGTTCATCTAGCTAGTACTAAGGTCTGTGGTTTTATCAGAAGTTGTTATTTATATTGTCTGCTACCTTTGTTGAAATTTAAAGACATGTAATGTGTAATTCCAGGTACAAATGTCAGTATTACCTTTCTCTGTCAGAGATCTTGTCATACATGAATTGGTTACATGTCCTTTATTAAAATAAGAGTCACATTTTATTTTAGATTTTTTTGGTAATACTAAGCTTAAAAAGTTAATGTTACAAGGGCAGTATGTGTTATGTGGAATCCATAAAAGGAGTAAATAGAGGAATAAGAGAAGGTATATGGATACTTCTTGACATTTACTTTCTTTTATGCTTTGTCATGTGCTACATTACCTTTGTTTCACAAATTCTCAGGATGTATCTTTTAGTAACAATCTCTTCTACAGGTCTGTCTGTAAGAAGTGTTTGCTGGAGAGGAGACCATATACTTGTTGGGACACAAGACAGTGAAATTTTTGAAATTGTGGTGCATGAGCGTAATAAGCCTTTCCTGATAATGCAGGGGCACTGTGAAGGAGAGCTCTGGGCTTTGGCTGTCCATCCTACAAAACCTCTAGCAATGACTGGAAGTGATGATCGATCAGTCAGGTTAAATATTGTTTGTTTGTTTAACTGTACAGTTTTATACAAAGAGCTCATTTTGTAGATAACCTGATAAAAACGTAGATATTTAAAAAATGTGGCATTGATCCAGTAAAGTTACACATTAAATTAGTGTAACTTAATCTCCAGTAATAAAATATAGTTGAAATGTATATTTCACAAAAAATGAAGTGTACAAAACCTGAACAAATTTAATTTAGGCTAACATTAAGCTCTCATACGCAAGTATTCTATGTTTCCTTTTAAGGAGTTACAGGTTACAATGAAAAATTGGCATTTTTGTTAAGTATCTTTACTATAACGTGGTTAAGCAAAAAAGCAGTTAAATTATGACTATTGAAATAATGCTCTAGAATTCTAGATATGTCTTGTAAGTGATAGCTGTTCTAATGTATCTTGTAGTAAAAACTTACATGTTATCTAGTTATAACTAGTTTATTGATAATGACTTGTTAATAGGAAAGAATGTCTTTTAACCAAGAATTTTTCTTGGCTAAAATAATTAGCAAAATATTGGAATTTTCAGAGTGGCTGTTCCTGGTATGTATTATCAGATGTTGTTATTTTTATATTCAGAAAGCTAAACAAAATTAATCTGCGCCTTCATTTTCTTGTTGATATTTTCTCTATATTTTAAATATAGAAAGTTCTTTGCTGTATGCAAAATTCGTGCTTTTGTCTAGTATTTTCCTTATGGAAATATTAAAAATATAAAAATATTTCCTTATGGAAAATATTAAAAATGCTTCTAAAATAGGACACTATCATATTCAGTGTTCTGCAGAAATTACAAGCTTCATGCTATCTGTAGCACGGCTACAAACCACTCATTACATTTGTATTTATTGCTTTATTTTAGAATTTGGAGTTTAATAGACCATGCTCTGATTGCCCGGTGCAATATGGAGGAGCCCATTCGTTGTGCTGCAGTTAGCACTGATGGAATCCATCTGGCGCTTGGAATGAAGGATGGCTCTTTCACTGTGCTTCGAGTCAGGTACGTCACAAAAATTAGATACACCATTAACTCTTTCAAGCATAGTGTCTAGTTGTTTTTATAAACTGTTTGTACATTGACACTGTATTGACCATACATGAGATGGCTTACATTGCTGTTTTAAATTACTGATCTTGGGGTGCTCAGATTTTTTAAATGTGTGTGCTACATGTGTTCACGTTGTCCATAACACATTTGAAAAAGTGTACAGGTATGTTTGTAAAGAATGGCAGTGTTCTAGGAAGTGCTTTATTTTAGGTTTTAGCTTTACTAATTATTCTTGAATTACTAAAACATAAATTTTCATTAATCCCTAAATTGTTTCCATGTGTTGTGATGCTGCTGTCAGCGCATCATGCATGCAAAATCATTGTGCCTTGTTCCTACAATCCCAGAGTTTTAAAGGGAAAATGAGATTCGTGTCTCATGTCAGTGAAGTTTTCTTCCGCGAATGAATAAAGATCTAGTAATCTACTTGATTAACTTTTTTGTGGACCCAATTTGAAGAGTTCCTTTTGTTCACTCTTCCTCAGCCCAGTGCAGCATCTTTTTGTGTCACTGTTCCCTTCTCTTTTTTGGCCATGAAGCTCTACTGAACTCTAAAACCAGCAATTTTGTGTTTGCATATATGATAGTAAAGTTCACTTCATGATTTTATCTGTTTTTTAAAACTGGGAACATTACAGATTGATAAGGCTCTTCTATACTTATGACATGCTTTCTTTTATACTACAGAGATATGACTGAGGTTGTTCATATCAAAGACAGGAAAGAAGCTATTCATGAACTGAAATATTCACCAGATGGGAATTTTCTGGCTGTTGGCTCCAATGACAGCTCTGTGGATATATATGGTGTTGTTCAGCGATACAAGAAAGTTGGGGAATGTATTGGATCTTTAAGTTTCATCACCCATATGGATTGGTCTTCAGACAGTAAATACTTGCAGACTAATGATGGCAATGGAAAGAGACTTTTTTACAGAATGCCAAGTAAGATTCTGAGTTGCCTTTATGATATCTGTTACTTGTTACAGAAAGAACATATAGTAGTTTGGTAAGAACAGCCATGTATACGTTCTGGTTCAAAGCATTGGGTTACAGAATTTTTTTTCATAAGTTCTTATGAATATCTGCTATATTTGAATAAGTACGGTATTTTCTGACAAAGCTATTTAAATATTTTTATGTGTTTACTCTTTATAATGTATGTTTTCAAGGTAGAGATGCTGGCTTATGATTTATTTCTGAAAACTAGATCTTTTTTCCCACCTTTTTAGAAAAACAACAACAACAAAAGAAAAAAAACACGAACAAAACCCCCATAAAACCCCCCAAAAACAAACAAAAAAAACACAAAACCAAACAACCCACTGCATTCAAATTAAGTTTTGCATTAGCTTAATAGCTTTGTTCTTACTGAGTTTGCATATTAAATGGATTTCAATCTGTACTGTGTGTTTTTAAAATGTTTGGAAAAGTCAGTATGTTGTGTCTTGGAAGAGTCATCTGATATTCTAGAACTATTCTTGCGGTAGAACTGAGGAATTTAACTTTAAAAGAGCTTTTACAGTGAGAAATTTGTAGCAGAATCAGAATGCATATTAACTTGGAAGTATAATGGGTTAAGGTAACTAGAGAAAATAAAGAGTACCTGATGTAAGGATGCCAGAATGCAGGAATAACTCACTGGAAACAAAAGAAATATTGAAGTGGAATATATATATGATTCAATCATGCAACCTTCAAAATGAATAAAAATATCAAAATTAATTTTACTGATAATGCAAATTCAAATGTGTCTTTTTTTATGGCAGGTGACTATTAGAGAAAATTAGTATATTACATAATACTGAAATATAATTTTCAGCCTCTGTTTGTGGCAACCTCATTATTGTAAGTATTTTCAAGAGAACACTGTTTGAAAACTTGACTGAACTGTCCCATACTCTTGAAACAGTTTTCATCAAGACAAGTTCCCTCTGAAGTCCTGATTACAGTATGTCAAAGGCAGTGTTTGTCACAAGTTTTGACTTGTTTTTTCTGTGTATATACTTTTTACATAATATCATTCTATATTTTTCCTACTCACTGTGTTTGTAGAATTTATCTATTACCATCATCATTTACTATAGACTCCTTTCATTTGCTATACAATGCTTACAGTTTGCGCTGTGCATTATTTATAGTTCTATGGACACAGTATTTACTTATCCTAAATGAGCTTTTAGTTTGACACAGTTCTTAAAGTCTTACATGAAACTTTGTGGGACTGGAACAATCTTATTACAGGTAGATCTGATGTTAAAGAATGTTAAGGATCTAAGTATAAAGTTGGTGTTTTCAGTAATTCACAGTGGAGTTCTTTTTGCTCTAAGTAATCCAGGTTTCTAAAGCAGTTCAGCAACACGATTTTCCCAAGCTTTCTTAGACTGGCTACATGCATTTTTTTTATAAACATTTAAAAATAACACAGCCTTAAGCAGATTACCAAGAAAAAATAGAAGCTGTAAATTACCGAACTCATGATCTTCTGTTGTCTTGAGAAGCCTTACTGCTGATGCTGTCCTAGAGAATATCAGGACAGTTTTAGAAGTCAGGTTTGAATTCGGTCTCACTTGGTTTTGTTTTCCGAAGAGTGATAAATCTTACACTCTTTAAAATTACATAAGTGGATATTAAAAAAAATTGCTCTTTTTTGTTCTTAGGTGGAAAAGAAGTAACAAGCAAGGAGGAATTAAAAGGTGTTCAGTGGGCATCATGGACCTGTGTTTCTGGCCTTGAAGTTAATGGAATCTGGCCCAAATATTCAGATATAAATGATATTAATTCTGTGGATGCAAATTTTATTGGGCAAGTTATGGTCACAGCTGATGATTATGGAATAGTAAAGCTCTTTCGATACCCATGTCTAAGAAAAGGTAGTACTTTTAAGTTCAATTACAAATATATATTTTAGAATTTTGGTTATTCAAGAAAAAGGTTTTAGAAAACTGTGTTTAAAAAGTATATAAATGACCAATATTTATTCTTAGAGGTTTAGTTTGAGTTCAGAGGTGGAAAAAAATAATAGGCTTGTGTATTGACAGCTGTAATACTAGCACTACTTGTGTTTTGAACCAAATACCTAAAAAATTGCTGAAAAAATAGCTTTTTTTTTTTTCCTAATAACAGAATATCATGAGGTGATGCAGTATATACCCTTCTGTGGTATACATACCTAAGTATTTCACCTTGGACTTCAAGTATTTTTCTTCCTTTCTCTGGATCAGTGATGGAGATTTAGGCTAGGAACTAGAAAAAATAACTTTACTAAATGATTAGAGGCAATACATATGTGAACAGCAAATTGATCCTGTAATCAGAATATGCCACTGAATATCATTTGAAGTTTAAGAACTTTTCTGAGACATTTTCCTCAAATTTTTGCTAGTAATAAGGAGAAATCACATGTGAAATTTTTAAAACTGAAGCTTAAATCAAGCAATATAATTTTCAAGTTCAGTGTTGAGGACTGAGAGAACAGAGGAGGAATGTATGTTGTTTTAGACAGGAAAGGCTAAAGACACCATTCAAGTTGAACTGTAACGAATTATCAGTAGCAGAGATCTCTGTCTTAAGCTGGTGATGTGGTGATAATCAGAGAAAGCCTGTGAAATGTTCTCTAGATTGTAAGAAGAGTCCCCTTAACCTAAAAAGTTTGCCTGGGGACTAGATCTAATGTCTAAGTTCTGAAAGGGGAAACAAAAAGTTGCCCCGGTGTATCACTGCAGTTTGCAGCATTGCATGTTTAATGCTGGCTACAGCCACATGATCTTTGTGATGGCTCTTACGATATGTCTTCAAGCAGTGTGTGCTTGAAGAAATTACTTTTATTTTTTTCTTTTTTTTTTAATGAATGGTATGAAGAGTTTTTTCAACTCTTTTTGTGAAAAGTAAAAACCATTTCATTTTAATCTTTCCAGTTTTAAAGTGATAAGGCTTTTACTGATACCTAAGGTAATTGAAAAATACGTTTTTGCAAGCAGTCTTCTGTCATTTTGAAGAAGTTGGAATTTGATCCCTTTTTATCCCCTGTTTTTTCACTAAAAATATAAAAACAAAGAAAAGGCACAAGGATCTGAATAATGGAGTACTGTTAGGAACTTCTTTTTAGTAAGTGATCCAGTGATTGTAATGTAATTATGTACTAGTCAATGAAAACATTAACTTGATGGAGTTCTGTTACTACTCCTGTTATTAATGGTGTGAGGATATGAATTACTAGAAGTGCATAGTGCTCAAATTCTACAAAAAATGGGAACCAGTGCTACAAGCACACATACTGGGGACACTTTCACAGAGCCAAATAGACATAATTTAACATTTAAATAACTGCATGTTTTCACTATAGAAACAGTAATTGACAAAATCCTGGTTTGTAAAAAAATATAAGATTAATATAACAAAGTTTTAAGAAAATTTTCCTTTAGTATACCTCATACAGCACTATCTCATGATTTCTGTCTTTCTGTTTGACTTGTTGAAGATATTATGTCCTGGAATCCAAATTTAAAAATTTTTCTTAAAGACATTAAATTTGGAAATATTGCAAAAAGTTGCTGCTATTTTTAATTAAAATATCACTTGGAATATTTTAATTAAACTGTTACTTTTCGTAAGGGTTTCTTGATGTCTTTTCTTAAGGGGCTTCTGAAATATTTATTCCATGTGCTTTGACAGATATTTTCATTCTTCTTCTAGGAGCAAAGTTTAAAAAATATCTTGGTCATTCTGCTCATGTGACAAATGTCAGATGGTCACACGATCACCAGTGGGTTGTTTCCATTGGGGGGGCTGATCATTCTGTCTTTCAGTGGAAGTTTGTCCCTGACCGGAAGTTGAAGGATTCTCTTCATATAGCTCCCCAGGGTAAGTCATTTATTTAAAAAAAAAAAAAAAAACCAAACAGAAAGACCCCCAAAACACCAAAGGTAGGAGGAGGGGAGACTAAAATGGAAGTAAAATTCTTTGGTGGAAGTACAGAAAGAGATATTCAGAATTGCCACCTGAGAACATTGACTAATGCTTGCCTGTACCCTGTATGTGCAGTTTATCAAGATTCTGGGGGAAAAATAAAAATAACCCCCGTGTTACCTGTGCACAGGGAAAATGCAAAAGGTTGGATCATAGGTACAACTTCATGAATTCTGTATGTATTATCCTTTACTAAGTTGACAACAACTGGATGCTAAGATGTTACTGGAAAAAAAAAGTTGATTAAAATTTTGAACTATTTAGATGATAATTTAAGCATTGTAGTTGATTTGTTTAATATGAAGATGTATCAGTGCAGACCCAGCTACTGGGTAAATGAATGCTGTTTCAGTGCTGGCCTTGTGTCGTGGTTTAAACCCAGTCAGGTAACTCGTTCACTCACTTCCCCCCTTCTTTCCCTCCCCCTACTCCCGGAGGGATGGAGAGGAGAATCGAAAAGAATGCAACTCCCACGGGTTGAGATAAGAACAGTTTAGTAACTAAGGTATAACACAAATCACTACTGCTACCACCAATAATAACAATGATAAAGGAAATAACAAGGGAAGAGAATACATCATCTCACCACCAGCCGATCGATAACTTGCCCCCCCCAGCCCGACCAAGCTCTGACCCATACCTCCTCCAGCCCTGCAGACTCCCAGCCCTTCTGGGTAACTCTCAGTTACATCCTGGGCATGACGTGCTGTGGTATGGAATACCTCTTTGGTCAGTTTGGGTCAGGTGTCCTGTCTCTGCTTCCTCCTGGCTTCCCCTCCTCCCTGGCAGAGCATGAGGCTCACAAAGTCCTTGGCCAAACCAAAACATCCTTGTTATCAGCTCTGTTCCCGAGCTGAAAGTCAAAACACAGCACTACACCAGCTACTAAGAAGGAGAAAAAATGACTGCTACTGCTGAACCCAGGACACCTTGTCAGTACCAAATGCAGAAAGAAGCTATAGTTTTCTTCATCTCTTTAATGTAGCCTCTGAAAACCCTGTTTGATTTTTTTATGGTATGAATCGGTTTTCAGTTAACTTTTCTAATTAGCTAATGCATCCTAAGATAAAATATCTATATAGAAAGTGTTTAGATTTCTTGTCTATAGATGTATAACCTTACTTCTGGCTATCCGATGCTAAGTGCAGCATACATCTGTTTTGTCACACTATTGATAATTGTCCTGATAATGGGCTTTCTAAAGGTGCTCTGCTGCTTTTATCAGTAGCTATATTGGGTTTCTCTGGATCGCTGATGAAAAAATTACTTTTTATTGCATATTTCTAGAAACATTTCTTACTGAGTGGTGATTCTGTCTTTGCAATTACATTTTGAGATCTTTTAAAATAATTTGTGTTCTAGACTAACTTTATGTCTGGTTGCTTAATCAATAAATGTGCAACATTCACTCAAAGGTTGAAGAAAGATCCAAATATATTACAATTTATCAGCCAGGACATTCTTTTCAGTTTCTGTTGGAATGAAATTCTGTGCTATAACATTATCTGGCTTTCCCCAGGTGTAATGCAGAAACATTAAATGACTACTCTTTCTCCATAGTCATGGAAAATTTTACCACTTCCTTTCCACATATGATTTTTTCTTTTTTCCCTGTAATGTACCTGGAGAATTGCTACTTAGATGAATGGCTCACTTAACCATGTTTCTCTTTGGAGTCCTTTACTTCTCTTCTTACCTTTCTGCAAGTCTTATTTTCTGCTTTATACTCATTAGTTCATTCTCTTATTTCTTCCTTTCCACCTCACATTAATGTCAATGAAATAATTTTAAGGAATAAAACTAAGTCACTCCCAAACCCTCCCAAAATTACCATACTTACAAATTGTCTTATTTCTACTAAACTTCTCTAATTTCAGAGGAACTGATTCTTTCAGCCTGTTAATTATTAGCAATTTATGTGTAGTTAATGTAGGCATTGAATATCAAATCAGAAACATTAAGCAGTTACTTTAAACACTTTCTTGTTTGTAATTTAGGTTGTTTCATTTTCTGTTTTTTTTTTTTTTTTTGGTGGCAGAGAGTTTGGTTGATTCTAATAGTGATGACTCAGATTCAGATCAGTCTGATGTTCCAGAGCTGGACTCTGAAATTGAACAAGAGACACAGATCACCTATCGTCGACAGGTAAACATTCTGGTTTTGATGGTAGTTGGAATGCTTCCCAGGGCTCAAGTTGGTCTTTTATGAATACCTGTTGAAGTCTGAAAACTGGAGAGACTAAAGTCTGAGCAGGAACTGACCAAAACTGTTAGAATTGTTATTATCTGATGTATTCAAAATCTGAAGACACAATAGATGAAATATAAAAAAGTACATGTATTCTTAACATGTTCTGATAGAGTTTTGGTTGTAATTTTAAAACAAGTTACACTGTGCAATAACCAGCTACAGTTCTTGGGGGATTTTTTACAATTATGTCAATATTTCATTTATATGGATGATTACCGTGGCTGAATTCTCAGAAATATATGTTTCTCATGAATCTTTTAATTTATTGTGTGCTCTTTCTTAAAGGTTTACAAAGAAGATCTACCTCAACTTAAAGAGCAATGCAAAGAAAAAAGAAAAAGTGCAGCTTCTAAGAGACGAGAGCGAGCTCCGGGGAACAGTATAAGATTGCATTTTGTTCATGGGTATGAAAACTAGGATTCTTTAAAATACGCAAGCAGACTGTGTTTTGTAGGTTGGTGATCATTTAAGAATCTGATGAAAGACTTTTAAGTCAGTTGCATTGTGATTTATGTAAAAATAAATTTTCACTAATTTAATAGAAACCTTTGATGCCAAAGTAGACGAATTTTAAGTGTGAATTCTGAATTGAATTTGCACTGAAACTTTAGCTGATACTTATTATTTGAATAGAGGTGACTATAGTATTTGGCTATTACATAATTTTCAGCATTTGGAAAGTAATAGTTCTCTTTGGTGTATTATTTTGGAAGCCTGGTGTAGTTGAAGATGGCTGGGTTCTGTACTAAATGTTGTTTCTATTGCTATTTTATTAAAAAAAAAACAAACAAAAAAAAAACAAACCAAAATCTGTTTGTACCTAATCTGAAACAATTCACACGTTTCTGTGGTAGTTTAGTAATTAAGTTTAATTCTTACCAGGTCCTACAAGTGTGTTAAAATTCAGTTTCATTCTCTTTTTAGGGCTGATTTAAGTACCAAAATGACTTGCAGATGCGTCCTTTAAGTTCTATGATTTCATCTTTAGGGTTGGTAGTCTCCCATAACTCTTTGTAAGTGAAGACTTTCTCATCAGAACAAAGATGTGGTGTCTTAAAGCAAAATGGCAGTAGATGTTACTAAATTAGAATAATGAAATAATGGAATATAAATTCCCTTGATACAAAACATACTCAAAGCCTTGATTAAATTAAGGCACTGGAAATCGGGTAATACTGTTTTCCTCTCAAGAAGGTGCCTCTTTGCGGGAATACAACTTCTTGTTAGGGATAAGTAAATGCACAGATAAGTTACTGGTACTGTCTTTCTTTATGATGATACTTAATTTTAGAAGGGCTCCGTATGAAATGCTTAACAAATTAATTGGCTAAGGATAGTTAATTTTTCATCTCAGCAGTTTTGTCTGTAAAGGACATGGAGTCTGAAGAATAGCTTTGGAAATAATGACAACTCGGAAGCTTGTTACAGAATTGGGGTCTTCTATTTCTATTTTGATGCTCCAGAATTCTCAGTTGAAGATTTTTATATTGGTGTAGAAAATGCATTAAGGTGGGTAGCTCTATATAGTCTTTAAAATTTGGTCTAGGAATCGAACCAAATGATCCTGAAGAGGATGTAGCAGAAGCAAGGGCCCTGGATCTTTGGGATTATTGTTATTTCCTTCACAACAGAAGTGAAGCTTGACCAGAATATCCAGGAATGACCAGAAGTAGAATGTCCAGTTGAGTTCTGTCTGGTTACCCAATGGGCATCAAGGAAACTAATGAAGAATCCATGCTGAACAACAGATTTTTCTCAATGTCCAGGCTGTTAACTTTAAAGTGACCCACATCCAAGTGAGTAATAGGTGTATTCTCTAATTCAGGAAGTCTGCTTTGCTTCATCTTTCTTTAGCTGCAATGGAAATGTCTTGGATGTTCCTTGAAAGTGTGCAAAGTGGTGCTTTTTTGAACTAGGGGTATAGGAAGCTCTTTTTCCTTTGTTTTTGGGCATGTTGGTTATGTTTTGATTTTATCGACTGCCTTGAAATATGAACTTTTAAAAATCTCTTCATATCCTGTAAGAAATCATTTAAACCTCTGCTTACTTCCCATTCTGGGAAGGGATAAAAATAATAATTCTGAGTATGTGAGCCAGCCACTGACTAATACAGATGAGACAGCAACTTCTATTAACAGTTTAATCTCTAAGTGCATCTTTCTCTAAGAGGTCTGATGCAGTCATCATCATCAGGGTTATTAAAGTGGTGTACTAGTTTGGCCTCTTTTTGACTATGCCTAAATTTTCTTTCTGCCATGTCTTTGACAGTGCTGGTGGTTCAGAAACATAAAAAGGATACTACTTTTGAGAGATATTCAGAGGAACCCCTTTCTCAGACTCAATGCTTACGGAAGTTTCTGCTGGCAGGGAATAAGGATGCAAATATACTATTATATTCATAGAAGTATATAATAAGAATAGTAGTCCTGTATTCTCTCAAAGCTATGAAGCTATTCTGCTGATCTCACAAGAATGATTTTTAATTATTCGCAGGTTTTAAACAAAATTTAGTTTGAGTTTCAGGATATTCATTGAACTGACCTTACCAAATAAGATGAAATTTGGTTATTTTTTCAAGGTGACATGGGATTTCTCATGCCCTTAAATGAGAGTCTTTACAACATCTTGCATGGATTCCTACCAAAGGGTTAAAATATATACAAACAGCATCTGAGGGGAGTAAGCTATGAGTGGGGCCTGTTGAGAAAAAACACTATTGTCATGCAAAAATATTTTAAAAGAAAATAATCTCTGCCTTTGTGCTAAAGACTGTGACCTCAACTATGTTTATTTGACATTTGGTTCTTCTGGAGATTTTTGGGGCGAGATTGCACTCCATTTATAAGTTTTCTACATATGCTTTGAAGAGTAACATGCAAATTTTGAAGCCCTTACAGAATCAAACTATAGACATTGAGGCTTTACCCAGAGTGGACTGTACTTGTGAAGTTGCCCCTTAGATGGCTTTAGATGCATAATTTGCAGCTGTGAGTAGGATCCAGCTTCAAGTTGAAGAAACAACTTCTGTGCCTGAAAGCAGGTGGTTTTATGTGTCTGTCTAAACTTATGTTGCAGTCTATGGAGATCCAGTCAGTGGTCAGCAAAGCATGAGGAGTGATTTGGCTCAAGTAAAGTAGAATGCTGACTGTTTCATCAGCTGAATAGCCCTGCAGGTTCCATGGACTATATTGTAACTATATGTAATACTGTTGATTAAAATATAGGTGTTAATATATCTAATGCACATGCGAACACCTGCATTTACATGTCTTAATCTCAAACTGAATCCAGTCCCTCCTTTACATGACCTAGGTAATGGCAAGAATTTTTTCCTACTAGCATTAGGAGGCTTTTTGTCTGAAAGTTACTGTCCTATTTACTTGAACTGGAGCAGGACTGATGGTTTCATAACCTGTTTCTGAAGACCACTTGGAAACAACTACTGTAGTGTTGTCATCAACAGAACGCAGTATTATCTTTATTGTGCCTTGTTATATATTATCCAGTAACTATGATGCAGAGCTTATTTAGTTTGTAGCTGCTAATTGAGTTGCCTTGTATTTTACTTCTGTGGTTTGTTTTCTGCATGCAAAGAAATTTTTCTCTTTTTTTTTTTCCTGAGATTAGCTAATAACCTTAGTTCTAAATTGGTTTCATAATAATGGAGATGTAAGTATTTTGGAACTCGGGGAATGATCTTCTACACTGAAAAATGTATCTCTGCTTGGACTAGGTAGCCCATCAATTCATTCTGGTGAAAAGTACCTATATAGTTAAGGAGTTAGTAAACTGGCATATGGGAATGACTAGATAGGTTTAACTGGGCTACAAAATGTATTTGTTTGTTCTGCTTGATATTTTGGCAACACAATGTTTTATTATAGTTGTAAATAGCTGATTGTACACCTTTCTTAATAATGGAAGAAATGAACTAAAATCTCTACTTCTTATCATAAAAAGTATAGCCATGAGTACTAATAAGTATTTTCCTGCTTCCTTGATAGATTTTGGAGGTTTTGAGTAGCACAGTGATATATGGCATTAACATACTCAGTTCCACTATGCTTAGCTTAGGGTATATAGGCAACTGTTAGAACAAGAACTGGGAAAAGTCTGAATTTTTGGGTTACAGGTAGAAAGATCTGAGACCCTTTTTCTGTCCTAATGCTTTTTACTTTTATAGGCGACTTCTAAGCTTGTATGAAATTGCTCAATGTCCAGTATTTTTAAAGTATTATTTCTTTCACCATACATTTTTGGTGGCTGTCTTTCAAGATATTCTCATTCAGGGTGTATATTCAGCTGCTTTAAAAAAAAAAAAAGTTATTATTACTCTGCATTTGCAAAGGGAATCCAGTGTTTTTAACAGAGCACAGTCCAGAGTGAAGTACAGGAAAATGATGCCTAAGCAGCAACAGGTCCAAATATCTTCTTTGGCACTGTGCCCTCCCCCTCACTGAATGTTGTCATGTCCTTTAACTGCTGATGTTGCATACTGTGATAGGTTATTTTGGTTTTCTTTCTTCACAGCTACTGTAGGTCATTCTGTATTATGTCTCTTCAGAAACTAGTGGCTGGACATCAAAGAAGGTTGAGCCAGGCAGGGCAAGCAGGCAGCACTTTTGGTCAGGCAGAAATCAGCTTCAAAACACCCAGACATGCTGCTGCTAGAGGAAGTTGTTAGGGAAGGATATGGGTGGAGGGAGAGCGAAGTATGATTGAAGAGCCTACACTTGTATTGTGACTCTAAATTGTTAGTCACTTTTAAGAAGAGCAGGAAGCAAACATATAGCTGAGTATCAGACCTAACGGAGAGAGAAATTTTTTTAGAGACCTTGAAGGGACGGTAACTCAGGAAACACTTGAAAAGTTGCTGGACTGGTGCCAAACCTGATGTTAAGAGCCCGAGGGTGAGTACCAATGTAAACAGTGGGCTGGAGTGAGGTGTATTTAAAAGCTGTTATTTCTGTGCTATCACACTTTTTGCTGGTTTAAAAAGTTCATTAAACCATTTCAACTTGCTTGTTTATGATCTAATGAGATCCAGCTTTCGACTTTATAGTATTGGAGGCAATATGAAGCTGGGAGTGCTTGGTACACCGCATGGCTGTGCTGCATTGAGAGGGACCTGAACAGGCTAGAGAACTATGCAGGGAGAAATATTATGAACTTCCAAAAGGGGAAATGCAACATTCTGAATTTGGGAAGGAATGGACCTGGACTATCTGCTTTGTGAGGCGATTTTAGCAATTTTTCTCTAATAACATATGAGCTAAGTACCATTGAGAGTAGTGTAGGTGAGCAGACAGAAGGACAGGCTGTTCAAACCTGCTCTAGGTTTTCCAGTAATCACCTGCTGTGATATTTTGCAGTAATGCAAAGATCTAGTATTTGTATTGGTCTAGTATTGGTGCACTGTTTACACAAAGAAAGCTGTATATAATTTTATGAAAAATTTTCTACCTGTGTCATTTAAACCTTTTACATGTCTCATGCAGTAATTGTCTTAATGCTATCCCATTAATTTTGTGTATGATTACTTACTGGTATGTGTGCAAATGCATCTTCGTCTTGTGTGATAAAGACCTGCAGTGTTGCAAAAAGATCTGACATTCGTTTTCTTCTTTGAAATGATGCAATTCGTTCTGGTGAAACATGCTTTCAATTAAGCAAACCAATTCATATCATGAAAAGTATAGCAGACGTTTGGGATTTCTGTCAGTTTGCAGTTGCCAGTGCTGAAAGTTCAGTTATTTTGTTTGCCAAGAATGACTGACTTATGACTGACTTACTGTGGTCAGGGATTTTTCAGTTAGAAGCTGGGTTCAGAAATACTTGGGTAAAGCCTTATGATTCCTAAATAAAGATAACTTATGGCCAGTTCAAACACATTCATTTGTCATTCCCATCTTGTAAATGTAACTGTATATTTAGAAATGGAACCAGATTTTGCCTGCATCTTTGTAAAATAATTCTGAAATTTTAGTGAAGATCTGTAAGAACAGAAGAAGAAACAGAAAGAGGTTAGCTGGGGAATTAATAGCATAGGAACAGGATGTGTCAGGAGTATACGGAATACTGTTCATATCAGAGGAAAGGAAGGAATGGATTTAAGTTACACATTTTTAAATGTTATCTACCTTGACTGCCAAGGATCACATTGTTAAAAACACGAGTTTACAACTTGGTTGTTTAATGATTTTAGGTTTCTGACCCTCTGAAATTAATTCTGAAAGTAGGACCCTAGCCTTTTTGAAAATGCTACTACCATTGTTTCTTATGGGTTACTGAATTGTAATCATGCCTAAGAAGAAATGTATATATTGTGATAGTGCATGCAGACCTCAGTAGGGAATTGTCCTACTCATGCACTTGCTGTGTCAGTACAGAAAGGATACAGGATTTTCCTTCAAAACAAACTGATCTGGTAGAAAATTTATGTATTTATTTTGTATTAGTAAGTTTCCAGAAACTTTCAGTTTTATGAAATTTGGGTTGTCCACATTCTTACGGAAACTTTTTGCTGCCTGTTGTTCAAACAGTAAGAGATAGAAAATGTCCAAAGTACTAGTTTGGCTGTTTTTGTTTGATTACACATTGCATTCCCAAATTCTCCATGATGTCTGAAAAAGTGACTTGCTATTACTTTCTCTTCTAAAGTAGTTGTGGAGAGTTACTATTAAATAGCAGACACTTTCAAACTAATGCTAGTAGTACTGATGTCTGAATAGTAAGTGAAATTGATAAATTGGTGCTCCTTTAGGAAAATATGTTAATAATGTTGAAACACCAAAACAGCAATTGTTAAGTGATTGCATTTTCACATATGCAAAATGCATTTTGCATTATTTTATCTCAAAGTTTCAGTGTGTATCGTTATGTCCTTGAAAAACAAACTTTTTTTCTTTAGTTACAGAGGTTACGACTGCCGAAGCAATTTATTTTACACTCAGACGGGCGAAATTGTATACCATGTTGCAGCAGTGGGAGTGGTGTACAATCGACAGCAGAACACACAGCGCTTTTATCTAGGTCATGATGATGACATTCTTTGCCTTGCTATTCATCCCTTAAAGGACTATGTGGCAACAGGCCAGGTAGGATGCATGTTTATCTACAGTAAGAATCTGAAGTTGTTACTATTGAGTTTAGAAAAGCCTATTTTAAAGGAAGAAAGTCAAGTGTACATTTATTAAGGTGAAGGACTGCATTTAAGTTGCAGTTCTCTAACATGATTCCATCTGCTACATAAGGTGTTTTTTTCCCAGCTCTTCATATTAATTCTGATAAGAGCCTTTACTGGATAGGTTTTTGTGAATATCTGGTTTTTTTTTAACATCTTTTTTATTTAAGAATGGATTCATTTTTTATTTTTTTTCATTACATTGCTGCTTCATGATAACAGTGGAGGAAATGTGCAATAAAAATACAATTTTTTTAGTATCTTAGTTATGAAGTTAGTTATATATGCATTTGTATACTATTACATAACATGAAGTTAGCTGTTGTTACTACATTCTGGCATTTCAGTTTCATGTGTTCTGGTTTCGGTTATCACTTATAGCCAAACCATTTACTGTTTGTACATGCAAATCAGGTGTGTATGTTGCTAAAATATTTATAAGAAGTTCATTTTATCTTTCACGAGACAGTAATTTTAGGTATATCCTTTTCATTCATGTGTTCAGGCAAATACCTCTTCCCCTAAATGTTTATACACCAGGATGTGAAGGCTTGATTTGATGTTTCAGGGTTTTTAAGTTATTATTGCTGCTGTTGTTATATAAATTGGATAATATGTGAATTGAAGTCTTTAATAGGATTAAACTTTTGCTTATAATGCCCTTAATTTGTGTAAAAATATTTATGATTAACATAAATTTGCAGGTCAGTCTAGAGATTAAAGACCTAAATGTGAGAATTTATTCTGTTTAATTTTGGAGTGGTAACTAAAACTAAAAATATGCCTGAATTTGCTGTGGTTTAGAACACCTTATGCAATCAACAGGAAGATATACTGTGTTACATACTGGCTTATATAGGCACATTATATACTGTTGTTTACTACATTACCTGCAGAAATTAGTTAATGCAATAATCAAATTTCCCATGGAACACTGGTTCAGATTTTCCTGCTGGTGGATATTACAAAGAGCTTTGCAAACATCGCATGTTATGTTTGTGGCAAAACCAGAAACAGATCCTTTTTTCTTGAGTCCTGCCTCTGGTCTTAAACACAGGAAAGTGTTCTGGTTTTGCAGTCCTTTTTGTGTACTGAGGTGCAAAATCTTTGGAATAGCAAATAATCTTGTAAAGATTGACTAATAATGCTTGTATATAGTTGAAAAGAATAAGCTATGTTGCTTTTCTTACCATGTTCTAGTCACCTGCATTGGTGCCATTTTTGTGGATATTACTCCATAGGTATTGATGCTTTAAAAGCTGGCTTGTAGGCACTTGTAATGACAACAGAAAGCAGCAGGAGGTCACCTTGATTTCTCAAACACAGAGTAGCTTCCATACTAGCAATAAAAATAACCTTTTATTTTTAGTCAGGGAATGATTGATAGAGAATTGATGGAATAAGTATGCCACAGTGCAATCAATGAAGGGCTGCTTCCCCTTCTCTTCCCCCAAGCGGAGAGTGATTTACTTGTGATTAATGTGTCTGAGTTATTTGGAGGAAAGAAAGAGCCAACTGGGGAGTGGTATTTGTAAAGCAGGAGAAGGAATAACATACTGCTAGCCAGACAAAAGTAATATTGCAAAATTTTTATCTCTGTAAATTTTTTCAAATACTTTTTAAAGAATTATGCTTTTAAAATATTATGCATTTAAACAACTATGTGAAGTAACAGAGACATGAAAAAAAATTTCTTATAAATGTTTACTTTCAGGTTGGTCGAGATTCCTCAATACACATTTGGGATACAGAAACGATAAAACCACTCTCAGTATTAAAGGGCTATCACCAGTATGGTGTTTGTGCCGTTGATTTTTCAGGTAATAAGTATTTATTTATTTATTTATTTACAATTTTCTTTTTCTATATGAAAGCTAATCAGTTGCAATGAGCAATTGGGAATTCCTTTACATTGAAGATTTTGCATTAAAAGTTTTCTCCAATGATCAATGTCAAATGAGAAAGGCAGTGTTCATTGGTTACAAAAAGCTCCTGTGGAGTCTTGCACATCAGGAAATGCAAGAACAGGTTCTGTGTTATTTAATAGCTGAGTTGATCACTTTGGAATCTCTTTTGGTTGTATGAGGCAGGCGCACAGATCTTGAGTGTTATGTCTGCATTACAACTGTGTAAGCAAATTTATCACGTGTCCAGTTTTGAAGAATTTAAATCCTGCAAGCCAATTGGGTAGCACACTGGTAAATTCATAAAGTCCAGTTATGTAAGAGTTCTGAGCAGAAACCCAGCCTTTCTCTCCATCTTATACTAACAAGAGACTGTCAGTTACATCTTTAGAGATTTTTGCACCCCATACCCTGAATTCCTGTACCAGTGTTAAATTTCCTCTTTTCCACTGATTTCTGTTCACTCTTTAATGACTTGGACTTACTAGATAGGATCTCTAACCTCACACTGAAAACATGTGATCCCAAAGATGAGTAGTTCAGGGTCTTTGATGCTTCTTACCTTTGGTTCTTTTCAAGGTGTGAATCTGATTTCCCAAATTTTGTCATGGCTGTATAGCAATTTCAAAGATTGATACATGTCAGAAGTTGTTTATCATGAGAGAGCACAAATAACTTCTTTCTTGGACGTTAATGTGGGGTACATGTCAGAGCTTCTCAAAGACTTCACACTGTTACTAAGTTCAAGGATGTTTCATAAACTTCATGGCGCTGCTTTAATGCTTTCCTGTTTAAAAATGAACACGGATTTTCAAACTGAGCAGAAAATTCTCATAGTACAACCTGTGATTAAAATTTTTGTGCAGCTATGTCAGCAACCACCTAAGCAAAGGATTTGATAAAAACACAGAGGATCTAAGCACAATTTTTAGACAGGGTGACTTAAAGTCCTAAGCTCCATCCAACTGACCACTCAAGTTTAAAAGCAGACAGAAGTGCCTTTAAGCACATGTCCCATGGTTATTTACCTGTTTGTACATTCTTCTTATAATATTTATGAAGTTATAATATTCTTTATTATGGTTCCTTATTATTACAGCATAGTTATGTATCTACTCTCTTAATCATAAATTTATCTTTCTAGCGGATGGGAAACGATTGGCTTCTGTTGGAATAGATGACAATCACACTATTGTACTCTGGGATTGGAAGAAAGGAGAAAAGCTTTCAGCAGTAAGGTAGGAATGTAACTCCATTTTAAAATTTGTACCTAGATTTACCCTCAAATGACAGTAAAGAAAATATATTAATGGAAGAATAATAGTTCTCTAATAAATTAGCAGTTTCTGTCACTTCAGTGACAGAGCACAGCTTTAAGCATATTTAGCACAGATTTAAAACTGTCTTTGGAAGAAGAAACTTGACTCCCAGAGAGTCAACAAAAAATATTTCAGTGACAGCTCAACTGGTGAAGAAAGCAGACGTAGAAGGCAAAGTTTGTTTACTTTTGTTTGATGAGTTCTGAAATAATTTCATTAAAACTCACTCCATACACTTTTGTTGGCCTCTCAGAGATAGTAATGTTTGCTCTGCTTTTCAGAATCTTTTTCATCAGAGGTCCTGTCTGTCTTGAGATAGTAGTCTGTGGTGTTTTTTTCTCAGGTGTCTTTTCTTCAGTATTCTTTCATTTTCTTTTCTGAGTCCTGAGCAGCCTGATCCAACTTTGAAGTTAGCTTTGCTTTGAATGGGAAGTTGGATTAAATAACCTCCAAAGGTTAAATAATTTGGAAGGGTTTTTTTGCCTCTGCACAGAATATTTAATGTAATTTTAAGAAATGTAGTTGTAATGTACAAGATAAAAATCTTATTTCTGATGTTAAGTAAGGTTTTTGAAACCTTTGTCTTTGCTGTTTCTAAGGATCTGTTGCTTTAAATACAGCAGTAAAGTGAGCGGGTATTTCCCCACTCTGTCTGGATTTAGTATGTATGCGCTAAATATAGTTCTAGGCAGATTTGAAAAGGATTTATTTTTTGTTAGAAGCCCAGGTAGCTTGGGTTCTCTGAGGATGCTGATTTGGGCCTTTCAGTTGCCTCCTTTCCTAGTGCTTTTTTACTTTATTTTTTTTCTTGAATCCCCCTACTCTCTGAACACATCAATCTCACTAATTCCTTTTTTTTAATCAAAATTTAACCAGTTTATACTGGATTTAGTTTTTTGAGTGTTTTTCTTCCTACCTGCTCAGAAGAATTGAATAGAATTTTTGAGAGCAGCATATACACATTGAAGATTAAACTGTGAGTTTGGTAAGAAACTGTTTCATTCTTCTTATTACTAGTTCATTTAGAGGTCTGGAAATGACAGAGGTAAAAGATTATTGCTACTCTTGAACAGGGAGCAAAAATTAGGGATTAGAGGCTCTTCTGCATTTTATAGACAAAAAATCCTGACTAGTAAGCATTTCTTACTTTGCACAGATAGCAAACACATTTGAAAGCTGAGGATGTGTTTTTTGGTGGCTTTTGTTTGTTTGTTTTAGGGTTTGTTTTCTTTTTGGGGGGGGTGGTGTCCACACTATAGGACTGAAGCAAGGAGTTGATTTTACAGAAACATAGTAAGAAATCTAAAGCACACAACAGGTTTTAGTGTTTCTAGAAACAACTGAAATTTCCATTTAAAATTGATACAGCAGCATACGTTTTGTACTAACAAGAAAAATGGAAAAATAAATTAAAAGGTGAATGAGAATGGCAGTTTGTTTTCACTATGAAAGGCTTTTAAATAAGATTTGCAAATTTATATCTTTAAGCTTCATTATGAGCTGTCGGAGGTTGAAATGCTATATACCTAAACTTAGTGCAAATGTGTATTCTTTTGTAAAGAAAATGCCACCTGGTGGATTTCTGAAGTGACATAGTTAGTATCTTCGAAAAGTCAAGGGTAATGAAGATAGAGCAGGACTCAGTATGTGAATTCTCTGGCTTTCTTCTCATAATAAATTATTGTTAATGATTTGGAAGTAAATGTTAGCAAGATAGAAAAGGTATACATTATGGGACAAGAAAACCCAAATTACACCCCGAACCAAAACCTATTTAAGAATATTTTGCTTTGCATTTCAGGGGAAGTAAAGATAAAATTTTTGTTGTTAAGATTAACCCATATATGCCTGATAAATTGACTACTGTTGGAATTAAACACATGAAATTCTGGCGTAGAGCAGGTAAGGAAAACTTTCAGAATTAAGCATTTTCTATTACTTCAAGTATGAACATTGAGTCTCTTATAGTATGTTTTGTGTATTAAAGGCAAATGTTTTCTCCGGGTACTTCTCTGTTAGCTTTGGCCTAGTAGAAATTCATATTAATTGGCATTATGGCAGTAATGGGAATTCTTTTTAAGGTCAATTTGCCATGGATCTAGAACTATACAAGTAGAGAGGACCCTGAATTTACTGCTTTTGTTTCTTTTTATCTAATAATAATGTAGCATATCTGATACTGTTACATAGCTGCTCTAAAGTCGTAGAATAATTTGGAAGAAGGACCTTTAAAAGAGGTATATTGTAGAGAGGCACAAATATAAGTTAAATTTAAAGTTACAAAAATCCACATACAAGAATTCAGACAAAGTACTTGAAGAGGATACATGTGCCAATTGAGGCCTGTTTGTTTAGAATCCTTTGTTGAAGTCAAAAGTTAAAAGCCAAAGAAAAGCAGCTTGCTTTATCTGCTCAAAAATTTTTGAAGAGTGAAAAATACATTCCCTGATATTACTGTGAACTTCATTGTTTCAAACCTCAAAAAAGTATATGAAGACATACGTGCTATGGAAGACTAGCTTATCTGCTCAGAATGTTACAATTATTTATGCACATCAATTCACATGAGCCTGTGATAAAGATTAATTGTGGTAAGAAAACTCTGACTGGAAAAAAAGACACTAGTTTTCTCAGTTCTGGTTCCGACAGAAATTAATCAAGATTGCCTGAGATCAAGCTGTTGAAGTCTATATAAATAATTAATTGTAACTATTGTTCTTGCTATCTATAGAAAGAACAAATTGTGTCAGAATATTTAATGAATAAATTACTATAACTTCTGTAGAAAGAAATCTTAACTATGGTAAAAGCCTAGAGATGGTGATTTTTAAATCAAATGAATTTTTTTAAAATGCCTCTTTCCTCTTTGGCATTGCTCAATCAGCAGGAATCAAATTTATCTAATGCTACAGCCTGTCTGTAATTGCAATGGCACACTGGCAAGGCAGTTGCCTTGAAGCACACTTAGCAGTGTTTATGTGAGGAGTAGAGTATCAGTGCACCTTAATAAATGCCAAGTCTCTGAAGTCTGCACTAGAGCAGGTGCATTTGATGTGAAAAGTGACACCAAAGTATATGGTTTAGACTAAATTTTCATCAGAGCCCAGTGGTGGCAGAGGGGTTCAAAGACATTGCCTCTGTAATTATGAGAACAGTATGAAGTGTCATTTCCTGAGGGGCTTCTGTGTTATAACAGATGAAGTTTCTCTGATGTCTGTGAAAATAAAAATCTGATGTTCTAGCCAGAAGTTACTATGTTTTGTACTTATCAAATGATTTTCAATACTGTTTTTTAAAATTTGTAAAGCTGTATCATTTCTACTATCCAGAGGTCAGTACAGCAGACCTCTAAAATAAATTTCTCACTGAAAAGTTATCGTGAAAAGGGTGGGATATCAAGATTTAAACTTTTTTTTCCCCAAGTTAATTTCATTAGGAATTTCTGTGAACTGTGTGGGAGATATTAATGTTTTTGTTTAGATGAGAGTTTATAAATGAGCTTTCTCTTTGTATGTCTATATGTAGGTATATGCACATGTTCAGATCCAGGTTCAAGTAGTAAGTTAAAAATAATGCTCTTTTTTCTTGAAAGATGACAGTGCAAAAACTTTATTTTCTGAGAACTTGGGCTTAATTTTTTGGGGAGCAGGGGTGACCCAGGGGAAGAGGACTTGTTGCTTTGGGCAAGGTTGGAAAAGCCTTTGGAAAATAGTTCCAAGCAGACATGTGATATCTTGTTTTTGGTTTGAACCAGGTGGAGGACTAATTGGGAGAAAGGGCTGCATAGGTGCATTGGGAAGAACGGATACAATGATGTGTGCAGTGTATGGCTGGACTGAAGAGATGGCATTCTCTGGAACTTCCACGGGGGATGTGTGTATTTGGAGAGATGTGTTTCTCATAAAAACTGTCAAAGCACATGATGGTCCTGTGTTCAGCATGCACGCATTGGAAAAAGTAAATAAACTGCTCGTTGTTTTTTGATGTCTGGACCAAAAAAAAGTCTATGATGTTACGCCTTTCCCAGACTCAGGAATCCATGGCTGTATTTCCATTACAGAAAAGTCTTGTGAGGCCCACATTCAAAACAGTATTTTGCATGTCTCAAACCCTTGTGATTAAGTGACATTTTATTCGGTAATTTCCGTGACCTCTTGCTAAAGAAAAAATAGTGACTTATGAAAAGTAAAAGTACTTTTTGATTTAAGCATCCGTAAGTTTAATGGAATATGTGAGCTTGCAAGAGACAGGGAAGATCATATTCTTACTATTTTAATGGTGTAATTTTGTTCTACTAGTAGCAGCATTCAGTCTGCAAATCACTCTCTCCTGATCCTCAACATCTTTTGACTCAGGAAAGCCTTTAAGCATGTGCCCAAATGTGAATGGGTGTTCCAGTTAGATTACTTGTATGTTTGAAGTTATGTATATGTTTGTATCTTCCTAGGTTAGACTAAGTTACTTTACCTTCTAATATTTGAGTTTCAGTATAGCAGCTTTGTCCAAAGCGTATGTTATTCATTGCCAGAACTATGTGCTCCAAAGGAAAATACTAATGATTTCAGTATGAGGTATACATGTTGTTTCATTAAATAGCTATAAATAAATTTCAAGACAAACTGGCACAAATATGCATATATTTGAACAATTCAAGCACTAATCAAATTTTTGTGAGTGGCACTAAGTTTGGCTTGGAGCAATGAGGTGAAATGGCAAAGGGATTTTGAAGCTTTTTAGTTAGAAGATTTAGTTAGAAGATTTTTTGAAGCTTATTAGTTAGAACTTCCAAAGCCAGCCCATGTACCTGGACTGTACAGAGCTGTGCTGCTTTTGTCAGAAGAATTGAATCGTTTTGTTGCCCCAGTCATTTCTAACATCTGTAGTTCTGTGCATTTCAGTGTTGTATATAATTCATTTTCAGTATTGCAGAAATCATTGAAAAACTAAGGAAAGATAATGATTGATTGTATCTTGTGAGGTTTATTTATTTTTAATGATTATTATTTTATTTCCCCTAACCTCAGGGATTTGTTACTGGAGGAAAGGATGGGGTAGTAGCTCTCTGGGATGATACCTTTGAACGTTGTCTCAAAACCTATGCCATCAAAAGGGCTGCTTTGGCCCCTGGGTCTAAAGGTAACAGAGACTTTATTCTATTTAAAATACTTTTTTAGAAAACTTTGTGGAATTGCAAACTGTGGAGTTGCTTTCACCAGTTGGAAGAAATCTACATTTGACATAATGAATACTAAAAATTATTTTTTTAAAAGCTTGATTGATTCTAAATGAGTCAGTTTTCTGTTGGGAGGGAAATGGTATGTTACCGTGTCTTTGCGTGGGTGCAGATCATAATATTTACCTTATTATTTGATTAGTTGATCTTACCCCACCCAGGCGGTTCATTTTTAAGTAGCAACCAGAGTGACTATTATTTTTCTAATTGTGAATCATCTTGTCTGATCTTTCTTGTTTTGGAGGAGTAATGGAAAGGAGAATTGTGGTCAGTTTTGTAAGGCCTTAGTACATCTCTGTCTCAGTTTTCTGTAAATGCATATGTCTTTTGAAATTATTTAATAATTTAATATTTATTAAATTAAATATTTAATATTTAATAATTGTTTCTGTTTTTACCATTTATTCTTGATCTTGGTGCTAGCTTACAGTTTTCCCTATGTAACATTCAGGATAGCCTTCTCTCCCCCCCGCCCCCCCAGTTTACATTAGCTATTTTCCAATGTGTGTGGTTTGATTTTTCAAAAATCATCAATGGAAACACCCATTAACTAAAACATTCTACTACAGAGTATCTCATTCTCATATCTGTAAAATAAAAATCTAGCTCAGAAGGTACCATAAACACCAGCGGTATAGCAGTACAGTTGATAAGTTCACATACACAGTTTTTCGCAAAGGCTGCCAGTGAGTGAGGCTGAATAAACTTTGGAGATACTCAGTTGAGAAGAAAGATTAGTGTCAGTTGGGTAACTGCTAAATACTCCCAAATGAATCCAACATTTAAGTTCTTCCATGCAGGAATGATTTTACTTACTTAATACTGAGTATCTTCTTCTACAATGAGAATGTAATATGTGAAAAATCCACTTTAAGGGATGCTTGAAAGTCTTCTGTCTTCTAACATTCTAATGTTCTAGGTCTTCTCTTAGAAGATAATCCTTCTATACGTGCCATATCTTTAGGACATGGTCATATTTTAGTGGGCACAAAGAATGGTGAAATATTAGAGGTGGATAAAAGTGGACCAATAACTCTGCTGGTTCAGGTACGTGTTGAATTTCAGTCAATACTCCATACCACAAACACTGTTTTCTTTTTCAAGTAAAGACTGTTGTGAAATAGTAAGCATTTAAATTACTAATGAAGTTAGCATGTTACTATCACTTTATAGATTTATTTTTTTTTAATGCTAGGCTAAAACATTATGACTCTTTAATGAGCAAAATACATCACAGAATTTCATGTACTGATTTGTTCAACAAGTTCATCCTTCCAAACAGACAGAGATCATATTTCTGTTAAAACAAGTTGTATGAAACAGTGGATCCTTCACCAAAATCCTTGCTAGATTTTTCTTAGTACTTATTACTCTTTTTATTTTAAAAAGCTGTCTCTTTGAGGCCAATTTTTAGATTTTCTCTGTAATTATGTAAAAACATTTTCATTTTCTTTGCCATGCCAAACAGACCGTGTTTCTTAAGCCTGACTACAAAACAGATTTTTTTACATCGTATTGTGTGATTTTCTTTCACACTTAGATAAAAATCTGTGGATCTTTAATTCACACTTCTGAGCGTCCAATACACTATATAAAGAACTAGATTTTTTTTTTTTTTAAAGAAAAGATTAGAACAAAGGTAAAGAAAACACTGGATTGTAGAATTATAGAATAGTTCGGGTGGGAAGTGACCTTTAAAGGTCATCTTGTCCAATCTCCCCTGCACTTAGCAGTGGACATCTTCAACTAGATCAGGTTGCTCAGAACCCCGTCCAACCTGACCATGAATGTTCCATGGATGGGGCATCCACCACCTCTCTGGGCAAACTGTGTCAGTGTTTCACTGCCCTCATAGTATAAAATTTCTGCCTTATATCTAGTCTGAATCTATTCTTTTTTAATTTAAACCCATCACCCCTTGTCCTGTTGCAACAGAGCCTCTTAGAAGTCAGTCCCCATCTTATTTATAGGCTCCTTTATATACTGAAAGGCTGTAATAAAGTCTCCCCAGAGCCGCCTTCTCTCCAGGCTGAACAACTTTAACTCTTTCAGCCTTTATTCATGGGGGAGGTACTCCAGGCCTCTGATCATTTTTGTGGCCCTCCTCTGGACCTTCTCCAACAGGTCCATATCTTTCCTGTACTGAGGACTCCAGAACTAAACACAGTACCCCATGTTGGGTCTCATGAAAGCAGAGTAGAGGGGCAGAATCACATCCCATTACCTGTTGGCCATGCTCCTTTTAATGCAGCCCAGGATACAGTTGACTTTTTGGGCTGCAAATGCACACTGCTGGCTCATGTCCAGCTTTTCATCCACCAATACCCCCAAGTCCCCCTCCGCAGGGTGCTCTCACTCCCTTCATCCCCCAGCTCTACTGATGCTGGGGGTTGCCCTGACCCAGGTGCAGGACCCTGCACTTGGCCTTGTAGAACCTCATGCAGTTTGTGTGGGCCCACTTCTTGAGCTTGTCTTGGTCCCTGTGAATGGCATCCCATCCCTCAGGCATGTCAGCCTTCCTGCAGAGCTTGGTGTCGTCAGCAAACTTGCTAAGAGTGCACTTGATCCCATTATGTCACTGGCAGAGATGTGGGTGAGAATTATTTCTCAGTAAAAGTTTTCTCTAGTACTAGTTACTGTAATTTGCACTTTAAGTAGCAGGATAATGTTTTTTTTTCAGGTGTTCTATGTTTCTATTCAGATACTTCTTTATAATCCTCTAACGATATGCATATTCTTCATGTTCTCTCTTTGTTGGTGCTGGTGGGTTTTTAACTTCCTTAAATTTATTATTTCGTATTTCAGTTTAAAATACAAAATCATCTTATTCATTGTATTTTTCAGGGTCACATGGAGGGGGAAGTTTGGGGTCTAGCTACTCATCCTCATTTACCTATTTGTGCCACTGTAAGTGATGACAAAACTTTAAGAATATGGGATTTATCTCCTAGCCATTGTATGTTAGCTGTTCGCAAATTGAAGAAGGGTAAGATGCTTAGTATGAAAAATTTAACTGAATTCAGTTGATGTTCACTAGTGTTTATGAATCTTTGAAAAGCAAGATTGAATAAATTCCTTTCTCTGCTCAAATTATTTTACTGATGCTATGTTCAAATGTTTTGTAGCCCTTAAGCTAATTAATCTTTAAGAATGCTTTCTAATACTGTTAGGATTATTTGCAATTCTGCTCTTTTAAGTGAGAGAATTTCCAATGAAAGTTGGGTCAGTTACATAAATCTGTCACAGTGTTTGTAGTAATGCAACCTTATTTTTTGAACAGTGGAGGACTTCGAATCTAGAAAGTTTTGGAAGAAATCTTTAAAGTAACATTGAATTCCTCTTTGTAAATGTTAGTAAAATCTGTAATGTCAAGGAAAAAGAAAAGTCATAAAATTCTTACTTGTATACTACATCACTAGATTTTATTTTAACAGGTGGGAAACCTGGCCTTAACAAGCTTTTAATGATAACTGCTGTGTTAGACTAAGTTATACAATAGGCATTATCTTTTTGGTGTTCAGGAAAGCATTATGGGAAGCTTAGTTGAAGATGATTTGGGTTGATTAAGGTAAATGTAAGAAGAGCTGTGAGCTGGTACAAGCAGGGATTAAACAAAGTTTCAAGTTGGTGAAGTCTGCTCAAGTCTTAAAACTGATATTTCTTAATATTTTTAAAAGTAGTTTTGGCAGAAAAATAAGGACTGCAATGACTTAATTTGCTGATGAGACATTCTGAGATGCTTTGACAATCTTAGAAAGCAGCTGCCTACTGTACAGAAAGAGCTGGATACTTCTGCAGATTGCAGTGATGGAAATATAATATTTGGTAATGAAAAAAGGCAGGACTTGCCAATTGTAAGAAAAATGTCTGTGTAGCTGAGGAGTAGCTGAGGAGCAGAAAGCTCAGGATGATCCAGCTGATTGCAGGATGACGATTATGTGTGATAGTGAGGTATTTTTCCAGCACATAATGAAGTGTTCAGGTTATTTACAAGAGACTAATCAGAATCTTTTTTGGTCTACAGTTCTCATCTGTGTTCAACTGAATGAAATTAAACTGAAAGTCAAGTATAGAGAAAGAGGAGAGAAATAAGGAGAGAAAATTTAAAATACATAGACAGTAGTGATTAATCTGTATTACTAAAGTAGAATATATGTCAATTAGTATGCTAATAAAATGTAATCTAAGAATCTGGGGTTGTTTGTGTATTGAGTTGACAGTAGCTTCTGTGTGCTATCACAGATTTAGAACTTGGAAATTACCTTGACAGCTTCTAAAAAGTGTTATATACTGTAAAAATAGCTTTCCTTTGCTATTGGAAAAATAATTCTAAAAGAGAAATCATGCACTGTAAATGTACCTGAATGCCATTTCTGTATTTCTCATAGGAGGCAGATGTTGCTGCTTTTCTCCTGATGGAAAAGCATTAGCTGTTGGTCTCAATGATGGAAGTTTTTTGATAGTTAATGCAGATACCCTGGAGGATCTAGTCTCTTTCCAGCACAGGAAAGATGTTATTTCAGAGATCCGTTTTTCTCCTGGTAAGTGATTTAAAAGAAGATTTTTATATCAAGGTAGCTTAAGCACGCTTTGTAACCTTAAAAAAAAAAAAAAAAAGCAGAGATTTGTATTACTTTTTTACATGTAACAAACAAGCCAACAAGGTTAATATTAACATTTTGAAAAATACTGGGTTTCAAGGACTGTGTCCCTCATTTAAGGATGAGATTATTGGAATAAGCTTGCTCATAGTAACCTCCTGAATACAACACTCAATTTTAAAACATGAATATCCAGCAGCCTCCTTAGGTAACTAGGGTTCCACTTTGAGCTGCATAAATTTGGCTCTTCACTGCGGTTACTCTTAGCTAATTAGAATGCTTGAAACTGTTGTGTCAGAAAGTTCTGGTGGCATCTTTTTTCTTCTTTCTCTCCCTGCAGTGCTTAGCAGTCTCACTGAGGTTAGGTAAACACTACAGCTCTTATTTAGGAACTTGGATATATGGCCTAAACAAACTAATAATACTGCTTTAGTGAAAATAGTTTTCTGTAGAAGAAATGTGATGCAAATTACCGATACCGTTTCTCATGCAACATTACTTTCTGGTACCTAAGCTTTACTACTTTCTGAGTGTGATAAATGTTTAAAATTTCATCAAAGATTGTTACTGTTTGAAGATGTAATGGTTGTATATTTCATACTGATTTTGATTATGTGATAATCTGTCTGCCTGTCAAGGACTATGTATAAATGAGCAAGCTCATTTCAAAGAAATCTGAGTTGTATATAGCTCAATTCCAGAATGTACTTGTGTTTAATATACAGAGCCATGCAGTTTTTGAAAATGTCTTGTGTTTGTACTGATGTGTTCTAGGGGCTGGAAAGTACTTGGCTGTGGCATCCTGTGATAACTTTGTAGATATTTACAATGTAATGAGCAGTAAACGAGTAGGAATATGCAAGGGAGCCTCCAGCTATATCACACATATGGACTGGGACATAAGAGGTGAGTAACATTCATTCTGAAAATCTGCTGGGAGATTCATTACATTACAGACTAAATACGGTACATCTGCAGTATGAATTTATGCTATCACTGACAGATTTGTTTATGAATATGCTTACAGCATCTGAATAAACATTAAAAATGCGAATCTTACTACTATTTATATAATTACAAGATGTATTTCAAGGAAAAACTGTCTCTGCAGATTGGTTGGTTTGAGGGTTTGGTTTTTTTTTTCACATCTTCTGTGTTTATTGTCTGACTTCTAGAATAATGCACTGCGTAATGCAGTTGCATCTGTAGCTCAGGAATGTGCATCGTTGTCAAAAACAGCAGAAAGACTGGGTCTTAATACATGATTAATTTAAACACTAACTTTAGTTCTGTTTCCATACAAAACCAAGGCAGTGCAATTGTGCAATCCGTTAGTTCTGCTGTTATTCCTCTACATAATCACTTTTGAAACAGTCCAATTGAATTTGAAAGAGTGTTACAAGTTAGCTGCCTCTGAGAATTTTAAAAACAGGAAGAGGACAGAAACATTAATGAGAATTTCCCTCAGAAAAGTATTACTATAAAAGCAAGCAGAAGTCAGCTTCAGCCGTTGGCCAGGCAGCGTGCATGCAACCCCAAAAGCTCATGCATACTGGCCAGCCAGTTGACACAAACAAGCTCTGAATTAGACCCAGTACATTTTACATACCATCTGACAGGACAACCATGAACAGGAGAGAAAAGTGATGCATTGCGAGAGTTTTCAAAGAGAGGAGGAAGGACGGTGAATTTAAAGGGTCAAAGGATGCAGATCTTCAGAAGCGCATACTTCCAGGTCCTCTGTTTACATATGCAACTTTTTCCAATGGAAACAAATAATTTGTTTAATGTTATTAGCAACAATTTCAAAAGAATGTTTTTGTTTGTTTTAATGGAATTTTCTATTTAATGTTAATATACAATACATAATATGTTTTATAGGGAAGCTCTTGCAAGTCAACACTGGTGCTAAAGAGCAGTTGTTTTTTGAAGCTCCTCGTGGGAAAAAACAGACAATTCCGAGTTTGGAGGTGAGGAAATAGACCGCCACCTTAACTTGCTTGCAAATTAGAGTTATGGTACAACTGTCTTGCCACGTAAGAGGGAATGATGTGTAACAAATGTAACTAGTCTGTTGAAAAAAGCTTCTGGTTTGGCATTTGCTGTCTTTTTTTTTTTTTTTAATTTTATATTTTTGGACATTTGGTTGACTTAAACTCTCATAAAAATCTCATTGGACTTCTGTATGCCTCTTTTGGTACCTAAACACCTTTAAAAATCTATTGCAGATGAGTTAGCCCAAACATTGCCCCAGAAGACCTCATGTCTATCTTTACATACAATGAAATACAGTCATATTTATTACAGCCTGATATGCATAGGCAAGGGTAGTATGTTCTGGCAATAATATTAATTTGCTTTTTCACACATAGAGGATTGTTGTAGGGCAGACAGTGAAAATGGGTAACTTTCCAGTAATTTTTTCTGTGAGATTGAAAGGCAGGGTTGAAAAAGGTAAATTTTTTTATTTTTTTTTTTTCTTCATGTAACTGAAGGGCAGGTAAGAGCAACATTTTTTAAATACTTTTAGGAGGTTTGGAAGTTAAGAGAGGTGAAATTAAGTATTTCAAATGAAATCCCGAATAGACAGGAAATAAATGGTTGATATGTTTAAATATTATCTTTTAGATGTGATGTATCTTTCAGTGCAAGAAATCCATTTTTCTTGAAAATAGATATGAAAGAAAACTGCTTGGGTAAAAGCATGCTCTGTCTTAAATGGGTTGTTTTTGTAGGTAGAAAAGATTGGCTGGGCATCATGGACAAGTGTTTTGGGCTCTTGCTGTGAAGGAATCTGGCCCATAATAGGTGAAGTCACAGACGTAACTGCTTCATGCCTCACTAGTGACAGTAAAGTATTAGCCACAGGAGATGATTTTGGATTTGTGAAACTTTTTCGATACCCTGCTAAAGTAAGTAATTTTCAGCTGTTCATGCAGAAGTTTGGTTAATAAAAATGTCTTTTCAAAACTATAAAAACTCCTCACTCAGAACAAAATAATGCTTTTATAATTTTGTCCTTATGATCAAAGGTGGTATTTAATATTACTCTGCAATTTGCAATGCATTAAGCTTTGAGTTAATAATAACCATTCCAAATCAGACTAAAGAGCCATTTCGTGTAGTGTGCTATCACTCACAGTGATAAATGCATAGGAAAACCTGTAAGAATGAGAATAGGACAGGCAGTATTTAATAATATCTTAGGCATTAATATTCTCGGTATGGTTTTATCAGCATCTTTTTTAGCCCCTTAGGCCCTTGTTTTGAACACAATGAACACTTTTTTCCTCACCTTCGTTTCACTCATAATTTTATAGGCTTTCATTCTGTCCAAACTCAGCCAACTTTCTCTAAGATGAAGAGCTTTAATGTTATTTAATCATGTATCATAGAAAATCAATTCCAGAAGCACATTATATTTTTATTGCTCTTTTTGAACCTTTCTAGTTTTCCTGTATATTTATCAGCAAACGTTTTCAATTTTTAATATTTTGCCATGCTAGGGATGGTAACAATGCACATGCGTTGACTCAAAATATTCTATGTACATTTTATTCTTAATCTGTTAGACTCTTTTCTCTCTTAGGAAAAATTATGCAGTGTTTATTGCTGGAATTTGTTTACAAACATTCTTGCATGCTTGGTATGGAAATACGGTTATTGTTTCATGAGATTGCTATAGGAGAGGAACTTGGCAAGTCATCTAATACATACAAATGCAAAACAGCTGGTGCATTAACTGTAAAGAGATTAAGAACATGCTGCTTGTGCACTGGCAATTCATTTCCATTTTATCTAGTAGACTGGTTAAATTTGATCTGTGCCTTTTCTTCTCCCTTCTTAGGGAAAGTTTGGAAAATTTAAGAGATATGTTGCTCACAGTACCCATGTAACGAATGTCCGCTGGACCTATGATGACAGTTTGTTGGTCACTGTTGGAGGAGCAGACACCTCTTTAATGCTGTGGACTTATGAGATAGAAGGACATCGGGATAGCAGGCAGTGTGACAGTGAAGAATCTGATCTAGATTCTGAAGAAGATGGAGGTCAGTAATAATTTATAAAGGTAGCTGGATTATGCTGTCTCAGGAAGACTTGAGATTGTTTCGATCTTAAGTAGAGAAGATGCTTCAAAGGTTAAGTAAAATTTCCTTTTGAGCAAAGGACTGATAAACTGTTGTGAAGAAAATGATAATAAAGTGACTTACTGCTTTGATTCATAGTGTATAAAAAGACTTTTGACATCTTTTAAAAGGAAAAACATTGAGTGCCGATTACAGGTCACTTAAAAAAAATCTTTATAGAATTACAGTTTAGATTTGGGCACTAGTTCTAATGGAATTATGTTGAAATCTGTATAATGCAAGATTGTAGTTATCTTGATGTTGTAGCATCTGTTTCCGTAACATGGAAAAATTTATTCCAAGATCATATCAGTAGTTATAAAGTGGTAATTACATTTTGTAGAATTAACTTTTATTGGTTTTGCCGTACTTAATGTTTGTGGGCTTTTTTTCATGTTATAATTCCAAGGGTTCATGAACCTCCAAATTTGTTCTCTTGGCTCCCAAGTGCTGTTTTTCCTCCTTGTCAATTCCTCAGTCTTCAAGCATTATTCAACTGTCACTGCTACTCTTTATATAATTCTGCATAATAAATTAACTTCAGTTTTCACTAAAACCTGTTAGATGACCTAAGAGACACTTTGAATATTAGAGGCATATTAAACTTTCATTGGAGAAAAATTTATGCACTTTCTGCTTAAAAATCCTAAAGAGTACATCTGCAAGGTAATTGCCCACAGGGGGGACTTGGTCAGCTTTAGCTTTCTGAATCAAAAATTGCAATCTTCAGAGTTTTTGTCCAGCTTCTGCCTGTGACCTGTTAGCACATCTTTGCCCAATAACCTCTCCTAGGCTCTAGTGCCTTACACAGAACCCTCTTAGGCTGTGTATTCAAAAATACTATAAAAGAGAGAGAAGTGAATCTTTACAAGAAAAGACATCATTGACATATTTTTCACAAAAAATTCTCTTCATCAGGTCCTAGTAATTGCAGTTAAGAGTTGAGAGCTATTCTTAAATTGGTATTAGTAATCTCAGAGTTTGTGGGGGGGAAACATGCCAAAAGGATGATCACAATCCTGTTACTATTTTACCTGTTAGCTTTTTTGCCATATTTAGTAAACATCATCTGGATGTGCCTGACTGTCCCTCCTTAAGCATTGTGTAGGAAACCTGTGCAGACCTATAGATTCTATCCTAATGATGAATCCTGAAATTGAGAACAATGTGGTGCTGGGTCCTCCAGAATTTAACAGCAGGTGTCATGTAGTGAGGTCCTTTGTTAGTGACCCTGAGTTAAGGGCAACCAAGCAGAAACTGGGTATCTTTGAGTATCCCTTTAATCTTTGTTAATAATTTTTTCCACAAAAATATTGTAGAGAATTTTTTTCTTACAATGTCTCATTAACAATGTTCATTATTCCCAGCTACTTTCTTTCTGTTGTGTATTTACTAATAATACATGGTATAATTGTTCCTGTATTACAGTACATTGTTGAAACCTGCACAAATTAACAAATTATGATTTTTTTTCTTGGTTTCTTGTTTTGGTACTTTTAACTCTGATTTTGTTAGGTTATGACAGTGATGTGACAAGGGAAAATGAAATTAATTACACCATCAAAGCCTTATCAACAAACATTAGACCAATGTTTGGAATTAAGCCTCACCTGCAACAAAAGGAGCCAACCTTAGATGAAAGGTAATTGCTAAATTACAATTGTAGCCAAGAAAGCAATCTGAAAAGATGATTAACAGTAAAATATAATTATATTGGAATATATGTACAACTTAAAAGGTTGTGTATAAAAAGAATTGAAATGCTTCTTTGGTGGAAAATAACTCCACCAAACTTAGGAAAAGCCTTGCCAAAGGACTAGGCTGTATCTTTTTCAGAGAGCACCAAAGACTACAAATGATGTATAGACATTATTATGGTTGGGGAGTTTCTTGAGATAATTGAGTTATTTGCTGATATTTGTTAATACTTTTTTTTTTGACACTTAATACAAGTGATATCTAGGGAATGGCATTATAGGCATGAATGTGTACAACTTTTATTGAAAAACAGCTCTCAGTTTTCTTATTTTGGCAACAAACTAATTTGACTAATTTAGCTTCAACTGCTCCTTGCATTGTTTCTGTCTCTAGGTAACTTCTACCTTTCTTTGAAAAATTCTTTCCATGGTGGTTCTGCCTTTACTATTAATGAGTCTTGGAAAATGAAGTTGACTGCTTTGCAGTGTTAGTTGCATTGCTTGGTTTGCTATTGTATGCTTTAGAAGAGAAAGGGGTGGGGAGCAGAGTAGAATAAAACCAACGAGTAGAGAAAGGGAAATTATTTATAACCACTAGAATATAACCAGTTGTAGAATGTGCAGCTGAGAACAGGACCTTGAAAGATGTCAGCAAAATAAATGTAGGTAGTGTATGTGAAGGAAAAGGAAAGGGATTCCTAACATGATACCGTGGCAATTGAGGAAGATTAGTATTAAAAAGAGGGTAGTGTGGAAAACTGCACAGTATAGTTAGGTGTAACAGTATAGAGAAATAGTGGGTTGGAAACTTCCTGCAAGAATGCGAGGGCTTCTGTTACAATGTACATGCCTCTTTCCACAGTGAAGTTAACAGTCTGTGATGCCTTTGAGAAATGCAACATGACTTATGTAGGTGTTTTGATCGCATCTTTTTTTTTTAGTTTTGATGCTGAAGGAGATAATGGATGCCTGTGTATGAAGCTGTAGCTCCCTGTTTTGCATTTAAAATTAGAAACTGTCTTTCTGTTTATTAAATAATTTATTTGATGTGGAAATCAAAAATAAATACTGCACATGCCCTCAATATTTTGAGTTTATATTTGCTGTTGTTAATGAAAGGTATGATTTGTGATATTTAAGTGAAATTATAAGCCTCTGGTATTTCTTTCAGTAACTGTTTCTGGAAGATAAGTGAGTTGTGTTTTTAAGTTTCACATAAAAATATTAAGGAAAGTTCTGTTGTAAGGTAACTAGGTTCTGATTCAGAACACATAAAAGTTCATGAAAGGATTTCATTGCCTGCGTTGTTTAAAAGTTTGGGCCCTAAAATTTGAAATAAAAGTTTTTTGTGAAAGTTGGAACCAGAATATGGTTACTGCGTGCATTTTAACTTCTGTTCTGCTGATGTTAATACTGTGTAAGCTTAGGAAAGGTTTTAATAAGTCTGCTTTCATAGATACTAATTTTATTTTATTTTTATTTCCCTTTTGCTTCATATGAAGGCAGGGGGTAGTCAGGTAAGTTCATTTACACAAAGTCCAGGATCAAACACACTTTAATAACTTAAGCTGCTTGGAAAAGTAGTGATACTTTGAAATAGAAATGAAGGTTTTAACTCTTTGCAAGTAAATAGTAACTTGTTAATGGGTGGAAAAGGGATAAGGGACAATGAATAAGCCCAGTTCTTGGTCTGAGTGGCTGTGAGAAGAGTGCTAAATAGAGTATTTTGGGGGAAGTTAATCAAGTCTCCTCCTCTTTTCCTCATGACTTTGGAGTGGCTAAGGAACAGCTTCACTTAAGTAGCTTATAAAGTCTAACAAGAAGCCTAATTCTTGTGGACTTCTGTAAGACTGTATCACAGTGTTGGTCTAGAGGTCCAGCATGGAATAAGATGTGCAGGGAGCACATTGCGGAGATGCCTGAAGTGGCTGTATAAGCAGTATCAGCATGTCTGCACCACTGTGTTGGAGCTAATAAAGCTTCAGGGACAAGAGGAGTGTTATTTTCTTGGCTGCGGCATTTGACGTGCCATTGCATGTGTACTAAAGCGTCTGATCTGCTGGGTCCAAGTATCATCCAAACGACATGCAGAGTAACTAGCTTGGGTGCCAGCAGTAGGTAATAAGTTTCATAAGTAATACTCTTATGTTTGTAGTAGAACAAATCCATAGCCTGTAGGGCACCCTTCAGACTTGTAGACTAAGCTGCCAGTACACTTGGACCTACACAGACTAAGAAAGGAGAACTCCCTATACCTACCTGGACCCTGTTTCCACAATGAAATCACATCCCTATGGTGATAGATGATAGAATTGTGTTATTCTCTGTGTATCCTTCTGCAGACAACTTGACATAATGAAGAAAGCCACAGTCTTGATCTAAATTTTAAGTCATAGAATCATAGAATAGTTAGGGTTGGAAAGGACCTTAAGATCATCCAGTTCCAACCCCCCTGCCATGGGCAGGGACACCTTGTGCTAAACCATGCCACCCAAGGCTCTGTCCAGCGTGGCCTTAAACACCGCCAGGGATGGAGCATTCACACCACCATCTCAAATTAATTCTGGTTTTGGGCTTTTTAAAAAATGTGTATCTGTAAAGTCAGTTTCTTTGCAAGTTATACAGAACGTGTATAACTCACACAGACTTTCCTTCTGCATTGGTTCATTCACAGGGTTCTTTGGGTATACTGCTGTGATGAGTTGACCCTAGCTGGACACCAACTGCCCACTAAAGCCAATCTGTCACTCTCCTCGTCAGCCCAACATGGGAAAGAAAATGTTAACAAACGGCTTGTAGGTCAAGATTAGGACAGGGAGATCACTCAGTCACAGGCAAAAGAGGCTTAACTTGGGAAAAAAAAAATTATTTAATTGCCAATAAAATCCATGTAGGATAATAAGAAATAAAAACTAAATTTTCAAACACCTTCCCCCCACCCCTCCCTTCTTCCTGGGCTTAACTTTACTCCCAATTTCTCAGCCTGCTCCCCACCCAGTGGCACAGGAGGATGGGGAGTGAGGCTTCTTTGCTTCCCTCACTCCTTCCTACTAAAGGGGAAGACTCCTCACACTCTTCCCCTGCTCCAGCTTAGGAGCCCTCCCATGAGAGACAGTTCTTCACAAATTTTTACTTGGGTCCTTTCCATGGGCTGCAGTTCTTCATGTACTGCTCCAGCATGGATCCCTTCCATGGGGCCACACATCCTGCCAGAAGCCTGCTCCAGCGTGGACTTCCCATAGGGTCACACAACCTCCTGTGGGTGCATCCAGCTGCTCCCATGTGAGGTCCTCCCCAGGCTGCAGGTGGATATCTGCTCCTTCATGGGCCTCCATGGGCTGCAAGGGCACAGCCTGCCTCACCATGGTCTGCACCACAGGCTGCCAGGGAATCACTGCTCCAGTGCCTGGAGCACCTCCTCCCTTCCTTCTTCACTGACCTTGGTGTCTGCAAAGCTGTTTCTCTCACATATTCTCAATTTTCTCTCTGGCCACCACTGCCAGACGTTAGAAGAGATATGTTTCATGTAGTAACACTTCATTAAAATCCTTGTATTCTCAGGATCACATGCTACATGCTAGTGTAGAAGTACATGCTAGTGTAGAATGTGCTTCTGAGAATGTTTTTCAAGTAATTTTGAGTTTGTGTATAAAGAAGATTCCTTATCAGAAAGTTACCTGAATCTCTTTTCTTACTGAGTGCATTCTCTATGGGAGAAGATGGAAATAAAGACAATACCAAAAATGTAGTTACTACTTAAGACTGATTAGTGATGTGCCCTCTGTATAGAGGGAATATGATTTTTAGTATCCAGATTATTAGATGAGAGCATACCTGAAATCGTGTCTCTTTCTTAGTTCTGTCTCATAAAAGCACATCTGTGAGGCCAGGAGTAGTCCAACAGTATGGCCTGGATTGAGAGTCAGAAATTACTCAACTGGGTATCAAAAATTGATGCACTAAGATTATTTTGATTCTAATGTTATTAGCTTAAGTTGATCTCGCCTTTTACCTTGTAAGTGGTAGGGTGACATAGGAAATCAGAGGCTTAGGTTTGTCCATCAAAACTTCACATCACCAGTTGGGTCAAAACAGTGTCACTCCTTTTTGCTAAAGCTCTACAGAAAGGAATGGAAGAATCCCTAGGGTCAGAAAGAGAAAATAAGCAAAAAAGGCTGCAAAACACTGTAGTCTGGTGAGCAAGTAGTTTCTCTGTGAGGTATGGAACATGGGATTCTACATTCAGTGTAGCATAATAATTTTCTGCCAGTGTTTCTTTAATTCAAAATGTAAGCGCAGTTTCTAGAATGTGCATACTACCTCTCCAGTGGAGGTATGGTCCTGTTCTTGGTTTCCTGGTTTGGCTCATAAAATTACTTTCTATTTCCTTGCAATAACAGAAGTTAAAAAAAAAATAAAAACAACTGTTTTCCCCTTCACAACAGCAGTTTCCCTAGGAGCAGTGGACATTTGTGTATCAGTCATTTTTGTGGCTAGCACTGAAGTTAACCTGTTCCAGTTTCTCACCATCTTAACAGTAAAGAGTTTCTTCCTTATATCTAACCTAAATCTCTAGGAATACTAGATTTATATAACCTCTGAAGTTGTGAATAATCCCCTTGTAAAAAGAAGTAAAAAAACTAGAAAGCAAATATAATTATTTCTATTAATAATTCACAGACACCTAGCTTTCAGCCAAATTTGTATAAATAATCCTTTTCTCTTTCCCACCTGCTGCTGAAAAGAGGTTCCAGGTAATGCTTTTATTTTGCTATCTAGTCTGTATTTTACTCTCATCTCTCATTTTCCTTAAAAAGCCATCTGTCATGTTGGGTGCTATACTGTGCACCTTTCACTCTATTCATAGGATATATGAAAATAATTATGAATAGTCACTGTCAAGAAGCAGTGTTTAAAAAGTAGCAGGTTTCATTATCTTCTAATG